TTTGCGCTTTTCGTCCCAGTGTCGCATTTATTTTTTCCTCGTGAGGATCGAAGTCTAGGCCGAAACTCGAATTGATACGTAAGGGTGCGCATCGAGTGTCGACAATCCTGCATTCGTCAGTTTGAAAAGAGAGATCTTGTCGCCAAAATGAAATGCTTTCGATATGTCCCAGGCGGCTCGGATCAGGATGCCGCGGACAGACCCCAACTAGTTCGATTGCGGATGGCGAGCGGAATGCTGGAACTAGGACCTCAAGGGGTGCTCAACTTAGTTCCTCGAAAGTGAACTCCTGGCTCGACAGGAGCTCTGCACAGGGGGATCGAGTTGGGGTGTGATCCTCAGAATTATTGTTCTCGGAAGACTGCGCTCAGCGCACGAACGGTACGGGACCGGCGCTCTCAATTCTGTGCCGTGAATGACGAATGGCTGTAAGTCGGTGAGCGCGCGCGAGAGAGAATGTTAGGACTGTGACAGCGAAGTTGTTCCGGCTGGGCGATCGCTCGACCTAATCATTCTTACCCAAGTTTTTCTCCCATTCCAAGGCGCCGACGCGTCTCTCATTCTCGAGGAGTCCAAATCCGCTCATGGGGAAATCCGGCTCGCAGCTCCTCATGTACATACGCGAGGAGACCTAAGGTGCTGCAATCGGTCTGGACCACATTTTTCCGGAAGAGGTAACTGACATGAGCGGTCACCAGAAAACTTCACGTTTAGCCACTGGAAGCTGACGCCCCGACTTCCTGGTCCATCGCGGCCACCGCTCGAATCTGTAGACTCTTAACGAATAAGAGCTCATGGTCGAATGTCATGCGGAGCTCGAGCGTTTCCGAACAGGTTGGTTGGCGCGGAAGATTGTCGAGGTCATCCCATATGCAAGGAATTCTCCTTGCTCATGGATTCCGTTTCCAACAAACGACGCGGAGGCCATGACCCAAGTCCCCCGTTCCGGCGAACAGACGCCAGGGAACGCAGTGGCCGCCTCGCGGTTTGAAAATCATTGATATGGAATGTCATGGATACTGGGTGGTAGGAGGAGGACGCGACACATGCTCGTCTCGGACCAGGGAAAACAGAAAAAGACAAGGACAGGTATTGCCAACGATTTGTTCATTCGTCCGTGTTTTCCCTCAACCGCTTGTTTGTTTCGGGCTCAAGATTGATGTGTTTGCTGAACTTTCGTTGCGGCGCGGCGTTCACCGAGGAGCTTCAACGAAAACGGGCACCCCCGGAATATTTGGATTCTAACACATTGACAGCGAATCTTTGGCGTTTTGATATTTGTCTCGGCAGATTATCGAAATTTCGGTGAACGTCTCGCTGAACTGATTCATTTGCGTCGCTGGGTGCTCGAAGCGGACATGATTGCTGGGATACAGAGAAGTCCTCCGTTTCCCGTCATACCCCGCTTGTTCCTTAACATCTCGCGGGATTCTCTTGAACTCAGTCGATAGTTCGGCCGAGAGAATAATTCAGGGTGCGGCGAATACGACGGTCACATACGGGTTTCCATGCGAGTCGCGACCGAGACCGGAGAAAGGAGAGGCGAGGACTATCAATTGAAGCAGGAAAGATTAGTTGAGGCTTATTTCGAACAGACGGACTTCGCGAAGATCATTGCACTTGGAGGAAGATATTCCAGAGCTAGAGTCAATACCCAACCGAATAGCGGCGAAGAAGGTCGAGGGAGGGAACGCCATCGGGGATTTTCCCGAATGGAATTATCTAATCTGTTTTCTCGGAGAGTGAATTCGGTTTACTGAGAAGGAGATCGCTTTCTCGAGAGGTGGTCAGGTTCAGCGTACGAAGGAAACCGCTTCGAAACTTCTTCCAAACATGCAAAGGTCAGCACGGCCTCATTTCCATCAAAGTCGCGCTCCTCGCAAAGCACAGCTCCTTCACTCGAGGAACCGACTCGATCAAGGAAGGTCTGTGAGCGTAATTCACAAGGGTCGAAAGTCGACCAGAGATGGGAAAAAAATATCCAATTCTGGGTCAGTCAGGCCTCCTCCGCCGAGAGAACCGCATCCCCGAAGCCTAGTATGATATTTTTAAAGCTTTGATCAGCGCCACCTCAGGGGCTGGAGAGGAAAGGGAGCCGTCGCATCAACAGTTTTGTTGGCATTGGAGAGCCGACAGGAGACGTGAGTTACCTACCCTTGCCTCGGAAAACTGGCTTGTGATATTTGTTCGGCGAACGTGTCATGTGATCTCGGCCATGGAAAGTTTGGCGACAGACCGCCAGCCGATCTGAGCGCAAACGTCCATAGGAGTTCCGAGAGTCCGCCAATGAATCATTGCTGAACGTGCTCAAATCGTGATTTGGTCGAGAGGTCTCAGAACTTTCTCGAAATATCCTCGAAGTCCTTGTCTTCTTCTTCCTGTGATTGCTGAACGAAGTCGAAATATTTGGAGAACCTCACGAGAGGACACGCGTGACGGAGAACTTGTCCGTCTTCTCGGCGCGATGGGGTCCCAAAAGATGAGCAACGTGCCGTTCCGTTCTTGTCTCGACTCCAGCCGGTAACGGGATGTGAACAGCGATGCTCTTTCACCGGTCGTTTCCTTCTCGAATTTTCTCCGTGCCCTCCCGAATCATCATAAACTGAGGAAATACCCAGGGGAAAGATGTGTATCGAACCCGAATCGATTCAAAGCTCAAGCCGCAAAGGCTCTGTTAGCCCTCATTTGTCTCGGAGAGATCGCCGGATCTGCCGTGCCGTCGTCCGTACCCGCTCGCGCATTAATGTTTCTCCTTGAGCATCAACCCTGGCTGTTCGGCCCGGAGCGTGTTTCGAATCCCGCACGAATTATCTGAACAAGAGCGCGGCTCGGTTACGCTCTTTCAGCAATTAGAGGGCGGTAAGAGATAGTTGCCATGATTAATGATGTCTGGACAGATTAACTTGACGATGCGCGTGAGATTTGCATCCCACCTCGGAGTAGTGAGAACCGCGGACCTGGTGAGAGTTACTCTCGACGCAGAAAAGTGAGGGCTGGATCTGATGAGCTTCGCCCGAAAAAGAAAGTGTATTGAATCCATGCTCGAAACGAGGTTGTTAGAACCTTTCCGATTCACGGGGTTCTCCTAGGTTTGACTTCATCAAGGCTCCGTATCGGTCAAATGTCGATGTCCAATTATTCCGTTCATTCGCTTGGAAACCTTCGTCAGCTCGTCTATACGCGAGGCGCCGGTAGTCAAGGTTGAGGGCTCTCTGGGCGTAAGGCAAATGTTTGGAATGGGGGGTAAAGAGTGAAAGCCCAGCAGGAAATTACGCAGCTCAACGAAATAAAGTATCTCCTTAGGAGGTGTTAATAAATGACGTCACACGAGTCCGGCCGCGAATGCTAGAATTCAAAGTCCCTCGATCGAAACAGTTAGGGAATCTCGCACTCTCGATAAATTGAACCAACCTGAGAAATTCGGACACCGTCGGGCTTCTGTCCAGCTGATGAAACGCCCGCAGTCTGCTTCTCGGGAGCTCTTCACGGGGATATCCGCGGACTGGCAAGACGACCCGAAACGCTCGGGCAACTCCACTACGTATAACCCTAATATGATCTTATTTCATGAAGTATAACTAGCCTGTCCACACCTCAGAGAGAGGGGCCCATTAGGTATTGCCTGATATTCGCTGATACGCTCATTACTGTAGAACTTTGAGTCCGGTGGAGCATATCGGAGCTCGATTCGTGCGATCCAGATTCCCCGACTCGAATCTCCACTCGATTCCCGCGGCGAGAAGCCGGGAGAATCGCTTTCAGGAGGCGTCCACATCTCTCGAGAAGGACTATTCGCAGGGGGGAGGTTCGCATTTCAGAACGCTGTCATACTGCGAGAAGAGAATCGGAGAAAATATATTGGACGACGGCGAGGTAGAACCCTCGAGACCGATATTTTATCAGACGAGGCTCCCGCTTCCGTATGGAACATGTCCACTATATTGACGTGTGGATCTGCGCAACTCCATATATGCTTCTCTGCCACAGTGAGAACAACAGCAACAACAACAACAACACGAGAAGCAACTTCTATATTGGGAGGCAATATTCTACGAGGTCGAGGCACAAGACGTCCATGCTTTTTTGACGTACGAGCAAACAATTATCGTCTGACCCTATAACGTTCGCTGATTCGACTTGTCGGCGGCGTAGTTATTCGGAAGCGGAACACACGAATTCGAAGGAGCGGCTGGTGAGATTTACCGCGGGCCCTCAGAATCTTGGGACGATATGGAAGAGGAGGTTATCGGCACTTTGTTCGTGCGTCCGCTCGACCACCGAGTACGGTAGTCACCCGTGGAGTTCAATCTCACAGGCCGATTTCACGGTTCCAACCCGTATATCGTCCCCGTTGTCTTCGAATCAGTCATCGAGGGCTTCCGAAAGTGCTACACAGTGCCCGGTCCCCAACCTCGTTGCGATCCTCGATAAGAAGTCAAATGCATCGCAAGTTGTTGCGACTTCTCGCAGCCTGGCGAAGTTCGACCAGAGCATGAACGCGACGGAAGTGTAAGGGAGCTGCGACTCCCCAAATAGGTCAACAGAGGCGGGAAGCAGATCCATCGGGGAGCCTGAGCACGAGTTTGCGATCAGCACATTATCGCTTAGATTCACAATGAATATTGAGAGCTCGAGAAGCTCAGGAGGCATCTGCACCGACCTGACATCGAATTTCCTCCCATCGACGAAGGTCTAATCTCTTCGCCTGAAGAGCTTTAGAGATGCGAGGATTTTCTATTCAAGGGTGCGATTTTCTCGATGAGCAATCACGGGTGATTATTTCGCATTCATCATCGCATAGGATGAATCCATTTTTGTTATCTGGTGCCATTCGCTTCGGGAAACGTAAAAAAAGTATTTTCTGTCGGGAGCCGAGCGTTTGGTTCGGGTCCATGAGGCTCCAATCAACTGTGACCGCCCTCGTCAACGAACAGTGGGCTTTTTCTATTTTTCCAACTATCGTCTCTTCATTCATATTTCAGAGCGACCGAGGACCAACGATGGAGGGTCATCGCCCATCGCAACCGCAGACGGGGGCAATTCTGCCCCCGTCCGCGTCTCGACAGGGCACCACCTACGGCTCGACGAGCAACACCGGAACTCCCCAGGCGCAGGTGGCTACGGCCCTTCTAACAGGTAAACGAATGGCAGTGGTAGCTGGAGCACGCAGTTTTCAGCGACAAAATCTCCGCTCGACGTCGTCCTCGGGCTTCGTTCCGCCAATCGCCGATTCTCGATAATGTGTGAAAGCATTATCAGATCTGTTGTGCTCAAAGAAGCTCGGCATAATGAACGACACGCGCCGAACAAGCGTCTGATGGCGTCCGATGGCGTCCTTTTGATCGAACATCGGCTGGACCCAAACCACTTGGATCTGGGAAACTGATCATTCATGAGAACATAGGGCCACGATAAAGATGATAAGTCTACGCGACGGTAGCTGTCGCGTCGCTTACATGGTCTTGATCATGACGGACTCCCGCACATAAACAGTTTCCGGAAGAGGGACGGACGGTCGATGTCGAAGAGAAGTCGAATCTCCTCCGACACTCGATTCGTCGGTCCGACCGCGGGAACGTCTATGGACTCATGACTGGGACCCCTTGTTCCATGAGGTGTCGCAGACAAACGACTTCCCCTCGGCGGAACCAACAGCAGCGATGCTTCCCAAGTTGCGGAGAAACGTTGGTTTGAGTTTTGCATTTTTCATAACTCATCCCCGACCGAGCGGAATATCCTGGACGGGAACATCGTCCATCATGAGGGAGCTCATTTGTTTCTTGAGTTGTGGAAGGATTCTCAGATTCTCCACCTAGCAACCCGATGCTGTTGCGTATTATTCCGGGCTCATGGACGCAAGGCACGCGAGCTCGAATTCTCTTCGGATCAATCATGGACAAAACGGAATCCGTAGTATTCATTATTCTCGGCCTCACAGGGATTTTTCCCGGAGCCGGAATCGACCGCAATCATTTAGCTCTTGCCTCTCACGAATTCGAGCGAAGCCAGCGGCTTCGGAGTACGGAATCGAAACGTCACCGATTCTCCCAGACGCTCGTTGGTTGAGTCCCTTTCATCAGGCCGGCATAATTGAATGGTGATCACCAACTCACTCATCAGTTACCTCCTCGTCCTCCCGCCGTTTGCTTGCCTTGTGTCAACAACGGTCTTAGTTCGATTACGATGAGATCTTGTGATGTGAGAGTCTCGTCGGTTGGGGGCTCGTTAAGCCTTCGAACAAGATTTCCGACCGGAGTTAATCATTAATGAGAGCAGCGAGGAATTCTCGGCCGAACAAGTGGTCACCCTGCGGATTACCATCGAAAGAGCTGATTCGCTGTGAAGTCGAAACGAAGAGAGCGAAGTTCGAAACGAGGCAACGAGTCCCGACGCGACCGTGACGGAGTGAACGCGTTCTCATCCGACGACGGAATCACGAGGGTCCCTCGGTGATTCCGCGAGATTCATGTCGAAGAGGCTCCTGCACCCATCCATCCATCCATCCAACCGTTGATCTATCCATCAATTTGTATCCATTGTGAGCGGGAAGAGCCGTCATTAGATTTCCGATACTTACTCCGGTGACGACTTACTCCGGAGGCAGGTCTCGCGGTGATGAATGTTCGAGGCTGTAATTAGCTTGTCCCGAGTGAGAAAGCCCAAACATCTCCCCTCCCCGCCAGTGCCCAACCGTATCGTTAAGGCTCGAGAGGTTTTCGCAGGTGGCGGTCGCGTGGCCATGATGGTGGACGGATCAGGCCAGAATCGTCCTCTGCATCGCGCTGCGAGCCCGGATTCGACGGCTATGAATTCAGCAACGCCCACCGCTGTCTACGGTGAGGAGTCGGCATCCGCCGCGACAACTGCGATGCCACCGGCAGCTGCGACCACAGCGGCAGCCGAAGTGCCGTCCGTTGATTCCTCACCTCGTTCACCTACACTCCGTGCACGTGCACCTACTAGTAGCAGCAGTTCGAACCCACCCGCGCTTCCCACCGACTCAAACTCAGCTTCCAAACGGCATACCTCACCCAATGGGACGATGAGTATGTTGCACTTGCAATTAGTAGTTTCGTATCGTTTTCCGTTATAGAGAAATCCGTAGTTCGTGCTCCTTTTTTCTCCCCGTCGGCCCTTCGCGTGGCCGCGTAATGGCTTTGCTCGGGGAAAACTTTTCCGGAGAGCAAGTGTTCCCCGGTACTTAGTCCAGCAACGGTTCATTATTTCAAAGCAGCTTGCTTTGTGTACGCGCCGCATGATCAAACTTGCAAACGATGTCGACGAAGTTACGGAGCGAAGGAATATGTTTTGCTTTGCGTTGACCTCTACGAGGATTAGGCGAAGTCGAGATTCTCCTTCGGAGGAGCTCATCCTCAACGCGTTAAACCTGAAAAAAAACCACACAGATCTTCGCTAATCGGAGGAGTAGAAAGAACTCTCATGAGAATTTGGGGATCGCACAAACGCTTTGTCCGTATGGCGACTCCGACGCGTACGGTCGCATGCTCATTCCGCTCGGAGTGCGATGAGCTCAGATGCGGTTGGATGCGTGTGAGCACGCGAGCGATTTCCTTATTGAAATTGAGGGTTTCATTTGACTTCAATCCACAGATACAAAAGAAGACGGTCTGCCAGCTTTTCTGGCTCACCTTCCACCGGGCACTCCACTTGGAAGTGGCGCCTCGCGCTGGTCTAAGCTTCGGACAACCGTCCAGATCTCCGGAGCGATGAGTGTCAATCAGAAAAAAGCGCCCCTAAAACGTGAAGACTCCTTCCTGCAACGCTTCTCGACCAGGCACATCGGCGAAGCACAGGATGCTGACGGCAGTAAGTACCGAGCTCGCTCTCTGCATGTCCTTCCGTCGCGTTCGTTTCACTGTCCAGGAATCCATCTGGGAGTGAAAGAATCAAAACTCGAGAAGTATGGTAAGAGATTTTCATTCGAATTTTGTATCGCATCACATTCGGAAGAAAATTCGGCTCGGAGTCTACGTTGAGGGGATTTCTCATCGCCAGAGATGGAGCTCTGCATGCAGATATGGAGGAAGTCGGTTGGCCGTGGCGAAAAACAGAAAATCTATCACCTGTAAGAAATCACGACTGGCCACGAGCCCAAACGCGAGGACCCAGCTCGGGAACTCGTTTCGTAGATTTCGTTGCTCCGACAACGCGATTCACCGCTGGTCGTCACCTTTTCCTTGTCGCAGCGAGCCGAATGCCTTTGGTGCTCCTCCTCCTTCCGATCTCACAATAGCCGGGCAACGTAACACCGATTTCCAATTAACAACAATAAAGAAGACATTTGCAGTTCGGTCGGACAATTTCGGGTGATCAGTTGAGCGTTATGATGCTGCTGCTGCGTCTCCGTTGTCCGCAGATTCGGCTAAGCGCCCATCGACTCTATTACTCACGGTCGTTCGTTTCCTTTTCTCGATATCACAAGGTCCGATTACTGCTTCTCTAACCATTTTTGGTTATATCGAATGATCGCGGAGGCTGCGATCGTATGAGGAAACTTTAGCCTCCTCACGAAGAAAGTGGTCGAGATTACGAAAGTCTCCTCTACTGGAATAGCGTCGTAGACAGCAAAGTCGTACATCGCTCCTCGCTGTGGTTTTCGCCCCCGGGCCGCATCAAACAACGAGACCGAGAGTTGCTGCACTGGATATCGCGAAGATATTGAATGACGGTGGTGCCGTCGAGTTGTCGCTTTCGGTAGTTTTGTCACCGTAGCCGACCGAGCGGAATCCCGTACGAGGCGTCATAGAGCGAATAATTCACTTAGCCAACCCGATCCCTCGTTTCTTCATTTCAGATCCTGTTACGGAAGGAGAGCTGATTCCGAAGCCCAGACTTTGGTCACGGTCTACGTGTCGCCAGCTGATGTTCGGAGTCATAAATCCTGATGAAAATGCTATGTTCTTATGGCTTTGGCTGCTAACAGTATGCGTGCTCTACAACGCCTGGGCTCTAATTCTCAGACAGACTTTTACGGAGGTAAGCTCGCGATCGAGCCAACTAGGTACATGGAACGCGGAGCTCTGGCGGGAACGAGCCTACGGCTGAAACGCTGATGCTCGCCGTTACCGACGACCGTCAACGTAGGTCTCCGACTATCATGGAGAGCCGTGCAAGAAATTTCGATGGGAATTCTCCCTATTAGCATAATGAGAGGAAGCTCGCCGTTCTAAGGTCGCAACTCATCGTGCCAATTTGGTCGCTTGCCTTCCCGTCGTTGTGACTTTGTTCGTCCCGACCGCAATGTTCGGCCGAGAGGATTTCGAACGCTCTTCAGCATAAGACGAACTTGGCGGTGGGGTTATTTGCGCACGTTGTTTGGAAGAAGTTCCGCCGGCGACGCTGGCCTCTGATGGGATCCGTCTCGTTTGTTCACACATGATTTCACTACCAACCGAAGCGGGTCGGCTCGGGGAAGGGTTCGGCGGAAGCGTCCAGAGGCGGAGTGAATTCGTGTCGAGAACTTAAGAGTCGAGCAAAATCTGACTGCTGCGTTGAGTCGACGTCGAGGCTGACTGAGTGGGGTTCGACGAGTGAGTGAGATTTACTCCGACTGACTCCGACAGATGACAGCGACGCGGTTCCGTGTCTTTGATTGGGTTATATGTCCGACGGAAGCTCACACGGGTTGACATGATCTGATTAAGAAACTCCTGAACGGCTCGCGTCCGTATTTTCCGAGCGATTCGGGCCAATCCAGGACTCCGTTGTATTGCCCTCGTTCGGAATCCCGCTGAGAGTGTCTCAAAGAATCGTTTCTGGTGAGATCGACTCTGTGGTTCCCCGCGGTGACAATGGGCAGGGTTCGGGACGGAATTGAAGCCCTCATGACGAGCGAATCCGCTCGTTTGCAGTGTCAGGAATCTCTGGAATGACAATTTAGCCATATAATTTGGAGAATTCAAATACTTGTGAGAGTTCTGGAATGTCGTCGACGAGCATCCTCTCCTGCCTACGGAAAAATTCAGATACGATGTAAGAGATAGCCAATATCAACCACGATGGCGACACTTGGGATAACAGCGACAAGGCCCAAAGCAGAGAGCTGCGGACGGTTGGCGAAAAGCCCGAAGGGCGGGCGGAGACAGTTTCGACGATTTCACGGGAGAACTTAATTCACACGCCTCTTCCACGTGCCACCCATTCAGTCGGATGATTGAGTCACGGCTCTGGGCACAACTCCTACTTGTACTACAAGGATGAAGACAGATAACGGCTCGACGGTAGACCGTCGGCAGACAGGAGAATCAGGGGGGAAGGAACGATGATAGAGACGGGGCACGCTGAGGTGTGGAGACCGATTTTCAGGGGAGGCCCCTTCGGAACGTCGACAAACTCTCGTGTGCCAATTTTTCCGCTCGGTTGGACCGAGCGATTTTTCTTTCTTATCGCTCTTCGGATCTTTTTGAAGATTTTTCCGCTTTGAAGAGCTCCGGGGAGAATCGACTCTGATCGTCTCCCTGTTCACCTATTCCGGTCTTCTCATACAAATACTCGCCCCCCGATTTCCTGGAAAGAGCTCACCGTTCTGCTCCGATCTGTGCTCATAGCGTTTTTCTGAGATCGCTGCCTTGGTATCGCTCGAGAACCTGTGGACTCCCCTCAGCTGTGTCGTCGCTCGAACAAACGAAAATGCTTCTCCTTCGTTCCAGATACAGCACCTGTCAGTGTTTATGTGGATTGCATTCGACGGTTTCTCAGATTTTGTCTACCTGCTCGACATCGTCATTCAGCTCCGAACAGGATACTTGGAACAAGGGTTAATGGTGTCCGAAGGAAGGAAATTACGAGGCCACTACTTAAGATCCAGGTATTTGAGAACGATTCACAATTTGTCCTTTCGGGGAATGCAGGCTCATGTTGCTCTCGCAGTTCTACGACGATTGCTGCAGCTGAGTAGCGTGGATTCTTTATCCCACTATTCTGCCCGATGCCGACGGGGATTCAGGAGCGGTCGCCATCGGAATTATTTTTTCGACGATTCGAATAAAACTACCCAAGAAGGAGAGACCTGAATCAGGTCGCTCCGATCCCTGACGCATGCACGATTGAATTATAGGAGTTTCCTTCTCGATCTGGTATCGTTGACACCCCTGGACCTCCTACAGTTCATCATAGGGGTAACTCCCCTACTTAGGTGAGTGCTGGAAAAGACGACTGCTGCATCGCTGCTCTTCATTCTGAATGTCTCCCGTTCATTCCTGCTCCTAATCTATTTCGGGCGTAGAAAATAAAAACGGTTCCGCGCTTAGAGGACAGAGAACAGAATGAACAAGCTTCGCGTTCCACCGAAAACCCGAGTCATATCTACTCGTGTTGGCTCTGCAGACAATTGATGTTTCGTAGACAAGTCGTCTCTGGTTGGAAAATGTCCAAATTCGTTGCTTGTCGACATTGTCAGTAGTGAGGTTGTTAATGAACAGCGCGACGTAAAGTTCTTTTGCGTCCAACAAGCACGACAGAAGTAATGTACGACCGAGCAGATGGAACACACAGCTTATTGAATCGAACGAATGGGCGGACGGACGGACAGACGGACTGATGGACAGACACAGCGACGGCCTGACGGACCAACTGCCCGTTCGTCTGTCTGTCCGTCCGTCCGTCAAACAGATGGAAAAATGCCTCTGGCGGAGAAGAAAAAGACGAGGAGGAAAACCATCCGACGGCCCCCAGCGCTCCCCGAGATAACAATCCACTGCTGCTCATCCAAGGACATCACCGAACCATACGAGAACGCTGCAACCGAACTCTGTCCGACCGAATTTGACCAGATTGCATTGATTGACCACAGTGCAAGTTTAGCTTGACCAAAATATTTATCATCATTCCCAATTTCATTATCGATGCTGTCAGCCGGACGTACTCTCTTTCGATTTCACCTTTGTCTTCGGATCCGGGGGGACTCGAATTGGGACCACGGCGACAAGCCTGAAAAAAAAGAAAGATGCTCATACTCTCTCGTTCGGACAAACGCTGTGGACCGTGGCGGTATTCTCGGTGTTCCCCTTTATACAAAGCAGATACAAAGCAACAACAACACGGGCTCCGAAGAACTCGCCCCTGTCCGCCAAAGTAATCTGTTCTTTGTGCTCTAATCTACGAGCTCGTCGCTGTAAACAATGAAAGACGTCAGACGTTCTTTGTGGATGACAAACGAACGAGCTCTCATTGAGCCGAGCTTTGTTGATCTGCATTCGCTTGGTTTGATTTAAGTCGTACTGGCAGAATAGCCGACGAGTGGCTCCTGTGTTCCCCGGAGCAAGAGAGGAACACTCGAACACTGAGTTCTATTCCGTTCTACAGCGGAGTTGGGAGCTGACGGAGAATTTCCCCGGCAATCCCTCCCTGTACTTACCTGGCCTCCGGGTTCCCTATTGACTCGGAGAACAGCTTTCGAAACTTCTTCGCGCATCATGAACTCGAGCGACAAACGGGCTGTTCGGGCACCGTATCGTCGGAGGAAAATGTTCTATTCTGAAGGTCGGCTCGGCTCCGCGATTAAGAATGCGCTCTCCTCCCTTACAGATTTCCTCGATTCATCAAGGTGTATCGCTGCTACAGATTCTACTATATGGTGGAAAGTCGAACGATTTACCCAAACTTCTGGAGGGTAGCCAATCTGATTCATATTCTTCTTTTGCTATCACACTGGTTCGGCTGTTTCCATTATATGCTCTCCGAGTTTGAAAATTTCCGAGGGGCCTGGGCGTACACCAACCCGTACAAGAGCGATAACGCCGAATGGCGAGCCATCACGCGCAAATACGTCGCTTCCGTTTACTGGTCAACCCTGACGCTAACGACTATCGGTGGTGATCACGTGACACCGAGCTCAAATCTTCAGTGAGTACAATCGACTGAACTCGGAAAGCTGTTTTCCAGAAGTGCTGCGGATATCTTGGACTGCCGTCGGGCGCCGTTTTCTTTGTGTTCGCCGCGGCCGGACCGCCAGCCACACAATTCTAGCTGACCCTCCGCATCACTTACTCACAAGCGCCCGAGAGAGCTTTTAGAGGAGTCAGCGACAAATATGTTTCGCCTAATGGGACCGGGATACACCGCCTGCTTCGGGACAACTCTCTCGCTCGCTTGCTCACAAGAGACAAAAAACTCCCCACGGATGAAAGTCCTTTCTCCCTGCTCCGTATACATTCGAGTAGAGGAAAACCGTGGCCAACACCTGCGGCGTAGTTCGGGATTTTATACTGAATCAAGGCCGGGAGAACTTCAGACTCTCGCAGTTCTTTGAACCATCGACGAATGCCTCGACTTTCCGTGGTGCGGATGGTCAATGAGACGGGGGCGCACCCAGATCGTCATCTACCGGGCCCGCACGTGAATTCAGCCCCCGTCGCGTCCCGCTGAGCACAGATAGTACACGTCGCTATGTGAAGACATGGTGATTGTAATGAGAATTCGCGAATTTTTCCAGATATGCTTTTACAATACTCTCCTACCTTATCGGAGTGTTTATCTTCGCTACGATTGTGGGTGAGTCCGCGGGCATCGCTCGAAAATTTCTCTCTTTCCAAGAACCTGGATGGAGAAGTCGTGGAACTCATGTAGTTCATGTTCAAGGGAACGGAGAGTTCACGAAGAGCTTTTCTATGCATGATTTGTTAGAAGCCCGCAGAAATACTCTCAAGGATAGGCCGGGGTTCGGACGCTTTATTAAATGAATATCTAATCATTCCAGGCCAAGTTGGGAACGTCATTACTAATCGCAATGCATCACGACTCGAATTCGAGCGTTTACTGGTGAGTAGATACATTAGAAAGGATGCCCCTCGATGACGAATGAACGAAGTTTGGATCTCTCGAACTCTGCCATAGTTCCTCCGCGACAGGTGACCGTGTCGAGGTCGCGTCGAAAGAAGCAGAGTCGGGGTCGTGGAGGAGGGGTCCGTATGACGGTCTACTCGATCCCGACTCTTGGAGCTGAAGCTCCAGTTGACGAACAGGAGTGTTCATTGAGTTAGCTCCTCTGTAGCGTCGACGATTCTCCGTTCGCGGCTTCAGACAGCGTATATACCACAATGATGATCTTGACCACTTGCACAGAGTGGCCAAGGGAACAAAGAAGACGAAAGCGTGCAGGGAAAACTAGCGGTGCGCGAGCGAAGTCAGTGAAAGCAAAGCAGTCTGAAGCACACTAACTGCGAGAGGGAGCGAAGCGCGTAGAGATCCTCTTATGCGTTTCCTATTTGGACAGGGTCTCTGAGAGTATATATCCGAAGTCGTTGATTAATGGAGCCGTTCACGTCAGAGAGAGAGGACAGCAGAACGCTTGTGTGGAAGACTGGGAGCGTGTGAGAGAAGCGAGGGCCTGAGCGGGGAGAGGGAAGGTTTAATGGATTCGCTCGAGAAAACTCCTGATTCGAAAGAAAAAAACACCACCGTCTCCGACAGACAGAAACTAACTTGCTCGGACGGACCATTTTCAAAGCTTTGGACTTTGTTCACCGACAGTCAAGGGCGGAAGGGCTGATCAGAGAATTAACTATGGTCGAGGAGGAATTCCTGGATCGACGGCGCCGACTAGTCTCATCTTCGGGAGTCATCTAGCAGCATCATTTAATCCGATGTTCCGAGTCTGGCTCGGACTAACAATCGTTTTGGCCCTATTTTCTCAGGATGGAGCCAAATTGTACATGCGTCATCATAAAGTGCCTCACCAGATGCAGAGGCGAGTTCAACGATGGTACGACTACTCCTGGTCGCGGTAAGAGGATTTCCTCTTCAAGTCTATGTAACAGTTTACGCTTGATCGAGTCTTCAGCGATGCTCCGAAACCGCCAGAGCTGACGGATTTTCGCCAAGCTCCACATGGGCTCCTTTGAACGTCTCTATCACGTCTCTCGGCTATCTCGGATTCAAACCCTTATTCTTCCACAGCGGCCGAATGAGAGGAGGAGGAGACATAAATTCGGCATTGGGCGGTCTTCCAGATAAGTTAAAGACCGAACTTGCTCTTCATGTAAATCTCAAGACGCTCAAAAAGGTTCGTTATGCTCAATCGGAGACTCCTTCTCAAAACGCTGGGAACCTCGCATTTTACTCGAAATTACTCCGACCCTGAGGCGGAGCTCGATGCGGGACGGTAATCCCCGATGGTTGTTTAATGATTGAATCTTTCCACAGGTTTCGATCTTCCAAGAGTGCCAACCGGAGTTTTTGCATGACCTTGTTTTAAAGATGCGTGCGTATATTTTCACGCCTGGAGACCTCATCTGTCGGAAAGGGGAAGTGGCCCGAGAGATGTTTATCATCGCAGACGGTATTCTCGAGGTGAGGGCGGTTTTCTGCGAATCCCAACATTTCACTCCATGTCACTGTCGAAGGTCGTGGGTGGTCGTCGCTGAAATGTTTTTGTTTCTCTGTTCTTCCCAGGTAATAAGTGAGACGGGAAAAGTTTTAACCCAAATGAAGCCGGGTGATTTTTTCGGAGAAATCGGTATTCTCAACCTTGACGGTTTCAATCGACGAACCGCCGATGTACGATCCGTGGGATATTCAGAGTTATTTTCGCTGTCTCGGGAAGATGTTCTCTCGGCAATGAGGGACTATCCGGAGGCCCAAGAGATTCTGCGGGCTATGGGCCGGAAGCGTTTGATGGACGCTGGACTTTCTTCAACAATAAATTGTCCTATGCAAGCCAATACACCGTTGAAACAACAACCGCTGCAACTCGTACAACAGGTGAGCTCTTGATTCAGCCAGGGAATTCCTATCAAAAAACTTTTCTGATCGATTTCACCGAATTTCGTCCGCCGGCGATACATTTCACGATTGCGAGCAAGGGGACAGAACGAAACGCGGATAGGAGCTTGGTTGCGATGTCGAAAGGAGTGGGCGTGGGTCTTCCTCGGGGAGAGAGTCCTCTCGGATCTCAGGGGTGTTTTTCGGGCTGCGCTGCTATCATTTTCTCTCGAGGTGATTTCTTTCACGGCTCTCATGGAAATTGCGGACCATCGGATTTCTGGGTCATGGTGGTGCTCTTTGGCTCGAGCTCCTTCGTTAGTAGTCACCTCGACGCTCCGTACTGAGGGCTTCTTCTCCCCGTCGACGTAAATTCGACTTAGCCATTAAACACAACAGCCCTCCGCACAATTGAGCCTCGTTCACGGTTCGCTGTGCCGGTCAACCAGCCCGCCGAATTGGAGGGCGAAACCTTACGTCTACAAATAGATCACCGAGCTCTTCGGAAGGCTCCGTTGGGAGATTACGATCTTGGATGGATCTTTTTAGCCGTCTCTTCGAATCGAAGGAGGGAATCCGAAATGCATGTTGAATAGCGTTCGGATCATTAGCGCGGACCGATCGGAATCAGATCGTCCGGGAAGTCCTCGTTCGACTTCCCCATTCGCGGATCCCCTCAACGAAGGCCTCAAATGCGAATTACGGACGTTCGATGGAATCATTGCCCCAGACGGCGGTTGAGCTGAGATTCTCGGACGGGACTTCCCGTCGTCACAGCTAGGCGGAAGCAATCCCGAGTTCTCTCTGTTTCGCCCACCCACTCAGCGACTTCTGGAGACAATGACGTGAAGAACTACACGCAGCTCACAAGCCTTTTGGGCGCGCGAGCAGAGAGCAGGAAACACATTTTTATGTTCCTTTGTTGGTAGCGGCGACGGACGACGTGCTCGTGTTGGATTCACTTCTCCTGTCCTCCTGTGACACGTTCTACCCCTAGTTGTTGTACTCGCGTCTCGACGCGCCAGTCCCATCCAGAGCATGTTTGTGGTCCCGCCGTCTTGCTCGTCTTCGAAACTTCCCGCTGATTTTTTTCCCCAGTGTTCAATTCCCCGAAGCTGCACCAGGTCTCTGCGACTCCAACCTTCCGATCAGATGGAGAAGTCTTCTCGTTTTATAAGCGCTGCTCCTCAGGGGTGTGTTTCCTCGAAGCTCTGGGAGAGACTTTTGCTGCGGAATCGGGGTGAGAGTGTCCAGAACTCGAATACAAACGCTACGACGTGACTCGTTGATTGACCGAACGAGGGGAGCCGCTTTATTTTGGATCGCCCTATCCCTCCAATCCCCTATCCTCCCTATCCTGGATCGCCCTATCCCCCGGGTTCACGTCGAAGTTCGAGGTTCGCGCCCCCAAATCGACGGGGATTCGTGTCCGCGTCTTACTGAAACTATTGCGTCGCATCGGGTGTTCGCACGCCGTCGGGGCGAAATCGACGGGAATCGCTATTCTGGAATCAGAGTTTTCCCTTCCACGGAGCCTGATCGCTGACGGTGAGCTGGATAAAGTGTTCGGTCGACACAAGATTCTCGGTCACAGCCCCGGGAACTCATTCACGGGGACTCGAGCCGGAGTTCTTGATGAGAAGTTCTCCACATATCGAAGCACCAGGAGCGTCCAAATTCTGTTTTAGAGATGAATATTGGGCATCGGGTACCCTGGACCGTAGCGGAGATGTTCCCATGCCGAATGACCTGATAATAAATTGGACGGCGAAAAATCAAATACAAACTTTCTTCTTAGTAGAATACAGCCACGTACTCAGGAGAAATTTTTGGTCCGGCTCTGAGCGGAGCCGGTTTTGAAACCCGATCTCCTGACAAGGATTTTCTCCTCGAAATTCACAGGAAGGAGATGTGCAGTCCCAAGCCGCGGCAGCCGGGCCTATGGTCCCCAGCGTGGGTCACGCACCAACTATGGAACCCGAGGTCGGGGACACGGCATCGCTTCCAGAATCACAAAAATCGCCGAAGTCGCCTACTCGATCGCCAGTCGGGACTGCATCGGGCGCACCAAGCACGCAGAAGTCAATGAATACGATACGAAAATTCAGGAAAGACCTCAAACATCTGCTCCGAAGCGGAACGCTAGCTTCGAACGGATCGTAAGTGGCAGCGCGAGCGAGCGTGCGTCCGTCCGCCGTGGGCTTTCGATCCGCTCATTATCCAATCATTTGACACCCAGCCAAGAAAAGGAGAACGGAGGCCATCTGTCGTCCGGCGGCGGCGGCAGCGAACATTAATATCCAATGATAGATTTTGCAGGCGGCTCTCCTCGCGCCTCGTAGTACGCTTAGCGGCTCATATGGAAATGTAGCAAGCTTTCTCGCTAGTTCCTTCCTTGCTTCCTCCCTCCGAAGCTCGCCGGTCGTGCGAAACGACCGCGTTGCGATGATACCACTCTAAAGATAAATAACTTTGCGCCTCCTCCCTGCCTCACGAATCCTGCTGCCGCATCGCCGCCGCTGCGCATTTCTTTTATTTTCCCCTCTCATCGTTTTCTCGTTTAGATGCTGCTCTGCTCGCTGTTCGTGGCCACCTTTACAGTTTCTATTTATACTAGTCGCTAGTCGCGATATGACAGAGTGAAAAGGAGGAAGAAACACACCACGGATTCCGTGAGAGTCGGCGATTCCAAACCTAAGGCGCCTCTTTTTGTGATTCCACCCTCATGTTTTGATTCCCTCTCGAAGCCCAACCCCACTCGGCTCCCTCCACCCCGCGGATGTTTGTGAAAACAAAATCCTACGTCGGACGCTGGCTCGTACGATGAATCGTCGTCGGCTGCAGCTTCCAAGACCATCTGCTCATGCCACGCGAAGGCAACGCCCGTAGCTCTGTCACAGCACAAAACGACTGAAAATATCTGTTTCTCGTAATTTCCTTTATCTGCGAAAGACAACACCTCGTGTTCAACGCTCTGCTCCACGTGATCTCGGTTCGCCACGGATTCGCGCTGGGGAAAGTGTTTTCCTGGGACGGGTGGAAACCTGCCGGCTTCCTCGATAAGGGAGCATCTAATTGACGGAATGCCTACTCAGGGCAGCTACGTCCACGATCTCCTCAGCGAAGAGAGACGATTGGTCCGGAATTTTATTTCTCCCCGGGTTTGGTTATGCTTCTACAGCTTGCCGGTCGCTTCTGAGTTCTTGTTCCTGTAGAAAGAGAGGGCGTCACATAAATAAATCCGGTAGAGCACGCCGTTCGAGGCGAGAGCGTAAAATCGAATCCAAACTTGTGAAGTTCATTTTCGTAAAAGGCCTTAAAACCCCTCGTTCGTCGCAGAGGTTTCGGCTCTCCTTGGGCCTGCCTCCGAGAAATGCATGCGAGCGAAAGGCTGTGCTCTCTCCATTTAGTATCGAGATAAACTTCACATACAAGTGCACTTTATCATTGCGGTTGCAGTTGCACAACGGTCGCGGGACTCACTGCTGATGTGCGGTTTGTACGTTCCGCGCCGGCTAGACCTGGAATCCTCGTTAATAAATCCATCTCACGGCTCTTAAGGTAACTAGGGAGCACGCAACCCTTGATCAATCCAAGCATCTTGCGTAGTCAATCATCGCCTGACGTAGATCTTTTCATCCGACGTGCTTCTCAGATTGAATCCAGTCCGGGCCGTTGCCTCGACTGAAGAAACTCTGATATGCGTATGATATTGCGAATAACGCTGTGAATGTCAATGGGCATTTCCTCGAATAATGAGGAACTCTCTGAATTGCCTGTACACTGCTATCATTTGTAAGGGGAGATGTTGCTCCCTAAGTGGTCGTTGGGTTCGACACGCTGCAGGACTTGAGACTTCCCTCGCGTTCCCTGAATATTCCCTAAGGCTTGCACCTCGCCTGACTCAAGAAGGATCCCCTCGGGTCGCATGCTTACAAATCTGAGATCCTTGGACGTCGATTATAGGAATACGATGATAAATCCGACGCGAGATGACTGAGCCCCCTGAAATGGCGGATCAAGTTCATCATCGACGTGAATGAGTGCATCTCTCATGAATCTTCCGGGAATGCTCATTGAATCCGGTCAATCCCATAGGAATCGACCTGTAATGCTGCCTCTTTTGGATCCCTCGCGAACTCTACGCATCCAAAAGTCTCCGTGAAGGAGCCATTGCGTATGAGGAAGCTTTCCTGTGGCGATTTCTTCCGTATGAAGAATTTCCCTTAGAAAGATTTGTGCTTATAATGGGGTTCGTCCTGCACAAAGCGGTCTCTTGTCATAGAGGATCCTTTAGGAGCGGAATTTTAGGGTGATACCAGTACTTCCCTGTATTCTTCTATATTTCTGTCTGAATGGCCCCCTCGTTCGATCTCAATATTTGTTCCTCCTTCGATATGCGATACTGCTTCCCCGCTAAAATAATGCACCCTCCAGTGGGAGTGTCTTCGCGGAACCCGCTCCAGGAGGAACTTCCTCCTCAAATCTTCCGAGCATGACCACGATGATTCTTTGCATGTCGCTGGGCAGGGGTGTCGATCGGGGACTTTTTCTCCCGCTGATCGAGAGCTACCGTCTCCCAAATATACTATTGATTGTGATTGTCGTTGGCCAGGCTATCAACTCGATGTGCGAGGCAATGGTGTCGACTTTGAAAGCTCATTGTAGGGAACGTTCGAGCCGTCTGTTATGCGTCATTCTTTCGAAACGGGCAAATACGCCTTGTCGTGGAACCTCCGATCTCGCGCTCAAAACTTGTCCCGTTTCCAGACGCTTCCATGTAGGGCACCGTCAAACGTCGACAGGCGAGCCAGTGCTCCAATCTAGTAAAGGTGAGTCGGGACTCGCTCCGACGATCTCATGAAGGCCGGAGAAATGTGATTAAATCATCCGCCTCGGAGTTATTCCCATCGTTTAAATCGGATCGGAGAGGGGGACAAGCACTAAGAAAAGACGACCGCTCGATGTACGGCTTGGAGAAAGTCATTTGTATCCGGAGGAAAAATTTACGAACTCCGAACGAACGACAGCTGAAAGCCTTTTGAAATATCATCTCCATCAATTAATGTTGTTGGGGAACGTTCCACGCAGACACATCCTCTGTTCGGTCGCTCAATCCCTCTCCTCCGTCGTCCCGACAGGAGAGTTCGCGATAATAAACTAATTGAGTCATCGACGCCGTCTCGATTCGATTTCTCTCTTTCCCGAATGATGTTATTCCCGGGTTGTGGTCCAGCGTTCCGTACTCAATCTCACGGTGATGGTCTCGAGCTAGAGTCGCGGCTGGATACAGAACGATGATAAAAGTGTGAACTTCCTTTGAAAATACTACGCTGGACGTAGATACGTTCAGGGAAGGATAAAGCTTCAATTTCCCCTTCCCCAGGACAAACTATAGGCGGCATCGAAGGCGACATGGACGCAGATGTCCAGGACAACCTTTCGTTCTCTTCGATGGGACCAGGACGTTCCGTAAGTTTCGCCTTCCGAACCATCGCAGCGAAGCTTGAACAGCGAAATGGGCGTCGACGCACCCGAAATGATGATCGATGAACGAGAATGGACCGAATATTCCGCGAAGCTAACTTCAGCTTTTTTCCACGCATCCTTCCCAGGAGTCAAAGACCGCTGTTCAGGTGATTAGAGTGATTCCTTTCTCTTTTGGGAAAATTTTCTCGGAGATCCGTGTGAAATATCACCGGGGAGGAATCTTCGAATTTAGAATGCCTACTTCCTGCCGAGGGGTAGACTTCACTGTTCGTAGGCTGGAGAACAGAATTCATAATTTCTTCCGTCGCAGGCCGACCTAAGACAACGTAGATCGCCATCCGCGTCGTCCGCTTCCATCGCCACAGAATCAGGGCCCGCTTCTAGCGTTCCCATGAGCCCTGCTCAGACATCAACTCCACCCCAGGTTCAAAATGCACGAATCAATCCCTCCCAGAGTCTTCAGCACTGTAACCCTACGACAGGCAGATCACCCCGTAGCGAGCTTCTGACGGTTTCGCCACAGTTGGAGACGCGACGGCATTCTGAAGCCCCGCCAACTTCCAAACGTTTTTTCAACCAAGGCGGTAATGCCGGTGGAGTTGGTTGTGGGGCTCTCGACACCGGAACACTTCCGCGACAGCGAATCACAGAAAGCTTACGTAGAGCTACAATGGTACGGATCGCCCAAACCCCGTTTTCTTGCGACATCGACTTTTCGATGCTTTTTGAACGATTCTGGGAAACTGTTTTATTTTTCTGCATTGTCGAGCGCGAATGGTCGAGCTTCATGGACTCAGCCGTTTTTCACGCGAACTCTCAGGTTTCTACGACGTTCGAAGTGCCGCCACCGCCGCTCATCTCCGCCTCGGCGACTGGCGCCGCAGGATCGGCGATGGATGCTGAAATTCCTCTACTCCGCCGAGTTCTGATGCTCAAAAGAGAGCAGGCAACGAGAGCGAATGAAGAGCGCCTCCGACAGACGTCGTCTCGTCCGGAGAGCCTTCAGTTATCCGAGTCGTCGCCTCGAGGACTTGCCCCTGGCTCTGGCAGCAGCAGCAGCAGATTGGCGAAACTTTCTCCAAGAGTAGAGACCGACGATGAGGTGTTTATTTCGCCACTCAAGGCAACTTCTCCACGCACAGAGGTTTGTGTGCTCATGCGTATATTAGCGACTCTTCGACAGTTATCGCATTACGTGTTGGGGCGGAATGGCTCTGTCCTCGCACATGCCGCGACTCTTTTCCCGCCGCCCATTTTTCGACCCTGTGTCGAGCAGCGAAGTTCCTGCCGTGAGCAGAGCTCCAAATGACAGTCCATCCGCGTTCCGTAGCGCGCTGAGTTTCGAAAGAAGAGATCAGGCAGACCTTTTCGTGTCGATCGGTGTAAGCCCTGCTTCCCATCGAGCGCAAAGATGCTTCGTCGGTTAATTTTCTTCGGTACATATTTTCGTGCGGACTCCTCAGGTTCTGGCCTTACTGCAAGAGTTCTTACCGTGCCAATAGAGCATTCCCTGGTCTCGGAGTTCCTTGATCTTACATTTGGGCAGATCTTGAGGCTTTTCGAGACTCGTAGCTCCCAGCCGCGACCACCGATTATTGTCTAGCTCCGCTCCGATAGATGGATGCACGAGCGTAAGGTCAAGGAGAAAATCTTTCATTGTAAGAAGCGCTTCTTTTGCCCACCGGGGAAAGCGCCATCATCGGAAAAAGGCTCCGGTCCACCGCCAGGACACTCTACACTAGCCAATAATGAGATCGTGTTTGCGACAGGCCCCCGAAGGAAAATGGTCGTCCCCGCTCAAGGACGTGCCAATCGTCGGCGGCATTGACGAAGTCGCCGAAGGAACGCATGTCGGCTCTACGGCTGCAGAAGCGACAGACGAAGTAAGTCGTGGCTCGCACCCGCTGGCTTCTTCAAGTACTCCTCCTAGTCCGTGCTTATCCGCGAAGGTTCGACGGCAGCTAGATGCGCTCGCGAGTCCAAAGAAACGGGCGTTGTGGCAGAACGCCACATTCGACGGCTATGCGGAGAGACGCGCTGTACTTACTCGAATGTGCGCAATTAAGCAGGGACTGAGTTCGCCGCCTGAAGAAGATCATGCGGGTGACGGCGGCGGCGGCTTGCTTGCCGCCGGCAACATCACTCACAACAATAGCAACAACAACGTCAGCAGCAGTAACAACAACAACGACATTAACAGTGTCGCCGTCAGCAGCGGCAATGTATTTAACAACAACAACAATAACAATAATAACAATGCTCAATCAAACATCCTATCGGAAGACGATGCGCTGACTCGACAATCGAAGACGGAAATCGACGACGACGCTAGCCACTCGCAGCAGACGTTTATTATTACGGATCAAGAAAATGTCGAGCTGATGGTCACTGCTGCCATGAAACAGATCAAGATTGCCGTCACCGACTATCTGGTAAGTTTCGAATTTTTCGAATCGGAAAGGTATCGGCATGAGCCCGAGTCATAAATGCCCCGCGCAGTCGCGAATGATTCAGGCTCTTTTTCGTACAAGAGCTGTTAACTCCGGAGTTTCGACCAAGAATGAACTGGGGTGCATTCGTTCGTCTCTAGAGTATAGCGAGTTGAATCTGCCGGTCTGCGAAAAACGGGACGAGGAAGAATGTCATTATCTTTCCAGAAGGATACACACATGGAACTCACATCGCGAGTCGAAGCCCTCGAGCACGAGCTTGAGATCAAGGACAACCTCATCGTCGAACTGCAGGATGAACTAATTTTCAAAGTGAGTATGTCTCCCCCGACTGTGGGCTGCTGTGCAACTTCTCTCCTCGAACTGCCCGAAAACAGAAGCATTCCTCTCCGGGTGAGGATCCGCTGCATTCCGTGCGATCGAAGTGCCAGGCTAACATCGAGCGGGATTTCTCAGGAGAAAGAATTCCGCCATCAGAGACCAGGACCAAATTTCATAGAAGACATCTGCTCTCTGAGTGAAACCTCGTTCGAATCCGACGATGAAGATAACGCCTTCCTTCTCGCGGCAACGGTAAATATCTTCCGAGCTTTGCGCAAATAATCATTCCCTCAATACGAAATCGAGTGGGTTCGGTTTCCGAAGATCGGGGAAAAACCTACTGAATAGGTCGCGTCCGAGCATTCACTGCACGATATTCGAATTGTGCGTTGCCCACAATTTTCTAGTCACGACGCACGCAATCACTAATTCATTGCATGACGATGATCGGGGGCGGCGGATGGCCCGATTCTCGCTCGGTCGGGCAGGAAATCGGTGAATCTAGATTTTCATTTGTTTTTCGTCAACCTCTCGAAGGGACAGAGGACAACTACGAGATACGGTGGCGGACTTCAGGTGCCTTCGTCCGACGTTTTCGATCCGTCGCCGCGGAACTCCTGGCCCAGGAGTGGTTTTGAGACGAGCACTTTTAGCGAACTGCACGCCAACAACGGCATTCACAACCACGAGGAAAGTAGAGGCGAACTAAGTAACTTGGCGGCTGGGGACCGCAGTGCATCCTGGCATGACTACCCGACGTCGCAGACCTCGGCCACAGAGCACCCCGGCATGGTACGTGATTCGGGAGCAAAGGTTCGATCACATCCTCGTTCCCTGCGCCCCTTAATTTACAGGGATTCGTCCTTTCTTTCTGCTCGCTGCTCCCAGCCTTCTAGTCGGACGATGAGCAGACGAGTAGTCTGCGATTCGCATGCATGTCGCTCGGGAATCTGTATTCAAGGGGAGGCGTCAATAAACGTCTCCCGGGTTTTCTGCAAGACGAGTCGACGGCGGCTTTTTTGTATCACCCCGGGATGCTGTGTATTTCTACCGTAATTCTCAAACTATCCTCCCTTTGCGAGTCATCCGACTCGTTCAGCCAAGCTCCCCGCTCTCCCCAGAATGCAGAATGTCACGTAGAATTCGCGAATGACACCCGCTCCGATACTTCGTCGGAAATCGGTATCAATGTCGGTCTGCTCCTTGATCCCTATCTCGTTGCATGAACGTTCCTTTCACAATAGACAAGAACCAGACTCCCGAGACGCAAGCGAGACACAACCCATCCGTCGCCGATGAAGATCTGAACACTACGAGTAGCGTACATTGCAAATTAGCGAAAGGGGGACCTGCTGTCGGTGTTCGACGGGTGTATGCGAACCTCTGAATTCGGTGCCTGGTACAATGCTCTGGAAATACCGTAGTTCGCCTTTATCTCGATTCATAGCATTTCCCGAATGCGTTTTAGACCACGCTGTAGCTGATCTATCAGATACTGTGTCGCTGACGGCTGCGCTGCTGATTTTGTCCCTTCATAAGTCGACCGTACTCGTAGAATCAAGTATTCGGAATTAAATGGTCTTCAGGTGGTGGCTTCGAAAATGGGACCTGAAGACCTATGGAAACTTGAGTTCCCGCAGATATCGGACAACCTTGTGGAAACCTCTAGGAGATCTATTCCTTCGCATGATCGTCCAGCGTCCTTGGAGAAGAAAACGAACTCAGAAAAGCCGGCCAAACGCGGATCGAAGCAGGATGCCGCTCTTGCCATGAAACAGGTGATTTGAAAACACATCACAAGCGTTCCACTGATTACACACGAGGTCGATTCCTTGTGGTCTTCGTCGGGTAGCGCGCTCTGGTATCCCGTAGTTTTTGTCTTGTATTCGCATTGTGTCTCTTCCTCTCTGCGTCATATCGTGAGACGTTTGAACCTGACATTACTCATTCATGCGACTTGGAGCGAAGGAGCGGATATTTCCTAAAAATTCAGCCTCAGCTTTTGTTCGAAAGTCTTATCCTGACCCGATCCGCAATTAAAACCTAAATTGACCAAAACTGACCTAAATTTAATCTTTAATCTCGTGGCCCGCGAATTAAATCGGTGACCGTGAGCTCCAAGGCAATGTGCCTCTCTTTATCCCTCAGATATACTATGCTATATCGATTGATGGCTAATGGCTTCTACCGTTACATCCTACTCATCCTATTCTATTCTTGATCATTCTTGCCGAGTTTTCCCGTTTCGCTAAACAATCGTGAACACCAGTGTTCCCCAAACTTCTCTCCCCATACCCCACCTCAATGTCAATTCACACACTGCTATCGTATTCATTTGAAAATGGAGAATTTCCCGCACGATGGATTCGTTCCTCATGCCACTCTCTCTGAGTCTATTCGCTCCTATCGTTCGCCATAATTCTTCCAAACCTTCTCGCGCTCTCGAACTAATGATTCAAGGACTGTAACCAATGTGACAATCGGAAGAAAATGAATTGATTGCATCCATTGAGAATCTGTGAGGCTGAACTTCCGCTCCCACACTGATTGGTTATTCGGTATCCAGGCGGCGCAGACAAACTCGAACAGCGCCGCCAGCTCTGAACACGCGCCTGCTCTGAAGACCGAGGACGTGCGCCAGGCCTCCTGCGACGATTGGGAGGTGAAAATGCTGGTGGAGCAATTCGATGAGAAGATGAAACGCCGTTCCCTCGAAGGTAATCACGACGATCGCACTCGACTTCCTCTTTATGGCTAAGCGATGTCTATGAGATTTTTGGACACCTCGTTCAGACTGATTGCATGAATCTCGCTCCTCTTCAAGGCCGTCGTCATTCTTCCTGCGATATACAGTCGTGGGAGCGTCTTGTCCTGCAAGCTGACCCGTCGTCGAGTTATCCGAACTTTGGCGGCCCTAGCCGAGAGTCTCGCGATTCTAAAGAAATCCGTCGTCGGTACGGGTAAGTTGAAGCGGCCGAGCGACTCTAGAGCAGCTACTACACGATCGAGCAGAAGTTTTATGAGGGATACCTACGCGAGTTGGAGGAACTCTGCTATGAGAAATCAAACGAGAAATATGAGTGCCTAAATCGAGACGACATCCGCAGACGATCTTCCCGCGCGCTTTTTACCCGTGGACGGTTCCCTGAACTCGGAACGACCTCGAGACGAGCGGAGATCCGGCGAGCATCACTCGCCAGATTCGCTTCAGTTGACGTTCCAACGCTACAAGCCAGGTAGGTAGCACGGCGCGAATAATGCATAGCCGCAGCCACATCATCATCATCGCAACCCCTCGACGCAGTCATAAACGTGTATGACGACGAGCTCAGCATGATTTTTCCGAATGTCCCGTGGAGATTGAACATCTCACGACGTCAGCCCGACGCAAACTTCCCAAATTGAGTTGCTTGGTATCATTCATTGCCATTTCCGTCGGGAGGAATCAATATCGGGATCTGCCGCGATCCGAAGGCCAACGCTCCGAGTTCGCGGGAACAAGCGGCTGGCCCAGTGGGCGTTTTACGATGTCTTGCCGGAATGATCGGCAAACGAAGGATTAGGCTCATCAGAGAGAACCTCCTTGATTCGACCGGTATATTTCTCTCCAGGAGGCGAATCCTGCCCTCGGACAGCCAGTGCTCTTCAGTGAGCTCCGCCAGCCCTTGCATAGAGTCCGTGCTTTCTCGTTCGGACCAAAATCTTCGGTTGCGGGAGACTTCTTCTCCGTCTTCTCAGACGAGCTCAAGTCAGGATTCTCGCGTAGCTGCCTACCGTAGAAAGTAGGTTGCTGTCATCTTATATCTTGGATAAATTCTCGTTCCATTGTCATTCCTCATTTCCGCTCTTGAGCTTCTCATCTCATTGGAAACCGGAGATCGTACGATAGAATGCGAATCTGACAAAATCCCACGAACTCGTTCATCGACCTATTTTTTCCAGAGCTTTCTGTCAGTCCCGCTACAGCTCCGTGGCCGAACAGAGTCCGACCGGCTCGAATTCCAGAAGTCGCTCTTCGCAACAATGGAAAAGGTGAGGACGGAGCTGGGCTCTCATTTCCCAGTCGCCCATCTCCACACAACTCGAGAGCGAACCCGGGGCGCAACTGGCGACTGCCCTTTCGGCGTGGAAGACAGTGCATCTCTCGAATTCGCTATCTACTCGGAGCGTCGAGCTTGACTCTAGTCAAGTCGCCGTCGAATGTGCCATCTGAGAAAGCTCGTTCGCTAATGAAACTTGTTACAGCTGGCGACAAGTGTTGTCGACTGCACTCGGAGCGAAACTAATAGAAAATGCCTTCAGCGCTTCAATTAGCTCTTTGAAAAATCATCTCGCTCCCAATAAAGTGCGACCAGCGCGGCTTACTGATTCAAGGCTGTTTCGATGAGGGTTCCGCTGCTTAATTTTTCGACATCTGAAAAGCGGGGCGGACCCTCTCCAGAACAGCTCTCCCCCAAAAAGTCCGACGCGAGATTCAAAATTCTAGGAAGCGGAGAAAAAATGATACCTGTGCATAACAACGACTCATGTCCTCTCTCCCAAGTCTCGACGATGAAGCCCCGCGCGGTCGGGCGTCACCCTTGATATTCGACGCTGATCTAGAATCGGGAAGCGAGCATTGTTCTACGGATTCCATAAAAGAAAACCTTGAGGAGAATGTGGAAATGCACGATAACAGAAGAGACGATCAGCCGGGCGTATCATCGCAGGACGACGCCACATGGTCTCCAACCGGTCAGGCCATGGGTCTCCCAACCATCAAGGAGGGTTAGTTCTGCGCTTTTAGCTCTTACGGTCGCGCGCAAAATAAGCCTGACATCTGGCTGCGACCTTGTCTGTCAACTTTCAGGGCTCCGACTGCAGGGCCAGAAATCAGAGATTTCGGATGAAGACGAGGACGACTCCTCGTCTACGAAAACCACTCTGTTCATCGATATAGATGAGGGCTCTTCGGAACCGCTGATTGCTAAAGGTGGGGACGAATGCGAACTTCTCGGCCACTCGGCAAGTGAATCGCCCGCGGAGCTCACCGGGATTATATTCGTATTGCAGATGAACTTGCTTCTACCGCCCCGGGCGAACTTGCGAGATCCGACGAAACTCTAAACATCGACAACAGATCAGTATCCATCCACATTCCGTCAGTGATTGATGGGACGCCTTCGCCATCATCATCTTCATCGTGAGGATATCAATGTAACTTCAATATTCATCGCCTTCACAATCATCAACAACCCGAGCTCAAGACTACATCCACATGGAGTCCGGGTCCTGCTCATTTACCTCAATCGTGCCGCGAAACATCGTCAGCCCCTCGCCGGAGATGACGGGCAGTCATTTCGTTTTGCGAAATGATACCTGACAAGGTTCGAGCGAATGGCAGCCGTACTCGAGGTCGGACGAAAATATCAAGATAGAGCTCAACGAGAGCAAACGCTGTGAACAGAGTCGCTGGTTTCGGTTTGAGCATCTTGGACGCTTCGGGAATTCAATCGTCGACCCAAGTTCCGTGGATCCCGCCTTTCCTGAAAAATATGTGCCTCGAATCACGCAACATACCCTCAAGATCAATCGATCATTGACGCTAACATTCACGACATGAGAGGAAACCAGGAACAGACACGCCAGCGCAGTTACTTGAGTTCGGACCAAGGAACAACACGGAGCCTTCGCCGGACAGTTGGAAGATTTCGAAAGGAGTGATTTTCTCCCTGAGCAAATTCCATTTTCCCCCGCTGCGAGATGGAGTTTTGAGCAAGAAAGGTCGTTACAGTTTGAGACACCCTCGGCTTCGGCTGAAAGTGTGCCGGAACGATTCTCTTCCCCTCTCTATTCTGGTCGCTCCGAAGTCGTCACTCCGAGATCTCATTAATTACGATTAGCATGAATGATCAGCTTCTGTGTTAATTCGGATCTAGAAGCGAATCCCATAATGGATACATGACACCGAATGAATCCCTCGACCAAAAGCGATACCTCCTCTACCAGAGAGATCAGTAAACTTCGATCAGATATCGCTCCGAACATTATCGTAGTCATTAGACGAGGTCGCTGAGTTTCCACAAGTCGGCAACGTATATCAAAATGAGCGTATGTCGAAACACTACACGCGGACGAAGAAAAACCGTCGACGTGCAACTCCTTGTAAATTACTGCTACGCCCTGGACATTCCCCAGAAGGAAAGGGATGAGCGGCAGAGGTTCATAATCTCTGCATTTCCAGGAAACTCCGCCCTGATGAAGTCAGATCAGGTACCTTTCCCCCACCAGAGACCCAACGTTTACGGTACAAACTCTATCCTTAGATTCCGGTATTGAAGTTGACTCGTCAAATCTATCGAGAGTGTCGATCCCTCACGAAAGACTATCCCCCTTTTTTTCCTGGACAAATTCACGAGTATCGCCGATTTTTTTCTTCCGCGTTCGAAAGCTCCGAATGGGTTTTCCTCAGATGCTTCAGCACTTTATCCGAGCTCGAACCTATTGGCCGTAGGTCGTTGCTGATTGAAGACACTTACAGTCGCAAATTAGGTATTGCTCCGACTCTGTTTTGGAGCCTGAAGCCGGCTTCGGCAGATAGTTTTCCGAATCATCGTGGTTTCGAATAGATACGGACGGACGGGGAGCCGAAGTTCTCTCGCAGATGTGAGAGTCCTCCACAGAGCAGTCAACCGGTTTCCGCTCCGATTATACCATTGCCTCTGTCCGTAATACAATATCGTCGAATATAGTGAATTTTTACGATGATCAACGACGAATACCAAGGTTGTTGCGTTGACGGCGTTCGCGGACGCCGAGAGACGCCATGTTACACACACACACAAAGCACATTGTTTCGGACCGCAGCTTCAGCGATGGTAAGGAGTCGAATAAATCGGGCCACAGCATGGAATCAATTATGAGGCAAAGTAAGCCGCCGCGAAGTGTTTTTCGTCACATTCGCTCGGCTCACTCGACCTCGATACGCAAGCTGAACGTCGATGCAGATTCTCACAGAGTCCGATCGATCGGAAAAGAATGACGTGATGAGCTCCCCGGGATCGACCTAAGACTCATCCGGATAGGAACTGTCTTGATCGGAGATCTTTGATGTTTCCGAAGTTTCTTCTGTGTGAATCTCTCCCGGAACCGATGCGCGATGATTAAGCTGCTTTTGTGGCTCACGCTGAAGCGAGCAATCATCAATATTCCCGAATCGTTCCGGTGTTCTTCTAATGGCCGAGAAGCTCGAGATGGAGCCGTATCGGCTATTCCGGAGCAAATAGAAGAATCCTTATCGAAACATGGACAACTGGGTTTTTCTCAAAAGGCTCCATAAATACGCGGTAAGAGGTCCAAGTCTTGGACTTCGTATGATGACCGCATACCTTCCGAATACAAGTTGCCCAGAGACTGAACTTGAGCTCGAAAAACTGGAACTAAAACGGAGAACACCATTATGGTGCGAGCCCCCGGACGGAACCGGCCGAGACTCTCACCAGTCTTCCCTCCTACGCATTTCCCTGATGAGTGATTAAACCCCTTGTATGCATTGGATCCGGTCCAGAAGATTGGTCGAGGGCGTTGTTTAGCGAAATGTTTGTGGATGCGCACAGGTCCATGACCAGCGTTACGTTTAGTCTCAGATCCGAAGCTAACTTTCCTATCGTCGAATACATGTATATCTCGGTGATTTAGCGGTGGAACCCGCGGATGAACCTGGGCGAAACCGAAAACTCCTAAGATGCCGCGCCGTGGGAATGAGCGTCAGGATAAATTCAAGTTATATGAGTTCCCTTGGAAGGAAAACTACGGGACTCCTGACCCGGCGTGGGAATCAGGGCGAGCAATGCCTCACGCCATCATCTCTGTCGCGAAGATCTCGACCTCCCTGATTCCGTTGCAATGTCTGGACTGTCGGTCCGAGCGTACAGGTACGCATACCAGCTGAGGGAACAGCGAATCCAGGCTAGATCTTCATGAGCCGTTGCTATCCATCTCTCATGGAATTTTTACGCATACTTCGTGCATATGACTCGGTATAAATACACACATGGACGCAAATATTCATCAGGAGGAACATGCGATCGAAATTACAGGAATGTATCCAATCTTCACCCATGCTGCATTGCAAACTTATCCCGTTAGGCGCTATTTTGAAAATGATATATAATTAAATATTAGGGAATTATTACTGTTACTATCGACCCGAGAAAAACATATGGTGTGCACCGGAGCTTAAGTCGAAGGAAACCTAAAAATGTCATTCAATAATAAGAACGCTCCGACTGGTGATGAGCGAAGAGCTTCCTTCCGCCGACTTGAATTTGAAAAGATCTCTCTCAGCGATAGACGTGATCTGTACCCGACCTGAAGGGAACGCGGACATCCAAATGTCACCGACACTACGATTTGATCTGGTTCCGATCGGAAGTGATTATTTATTGTAAGTGGAACCCGACGAAGGGCAGACATGAAATGGTCTGAGGTAATAAAAGAATATTCTTATTCCCACTGAGTTGTGCGTCTTCGAACATTATGCACAGTCAATCATGGAGTCGAAAATGAGTGACCTGTAGTGCATACCTACGGGAGATTCCGACAAGAGAGAGCGGACTGGACTGTTGCTCGGTCGATATGGCCGATTTGAGCGCCTCGGGTTCGTCGTGTCATTCCATCTCGTCACTCTAGCTACTCATTAATTAAGGTCCAGAGGAGCGCGGCCCGCGAAAGGAGAAGGTCAATCGAAAGAGATCGGACGAAGCGCCGGCTCTCATCCAGACGATGAGACCAGACGTAGCCTTCTGTTCGTGACATCGAGCCTGGACCGAACGAAAACGAGACTTCGCTGACCGCTCATTTTTCCGATATGGAGCGATCGGAGGAATCCACTTACTTAGACCGCGGACACGGCAATGTGCTTTGAGAAATTCTCGCGAAGCTCTTGGACCCAATATGAAACCGTCGGGAGATGAGAGAAGCGGAGCGCAGTTCCAAATCATTCATTCGGATACCGATTCTCTGTGGAGAGCGTCATGCTGCGCTGTGGTCCCCACTCTATCCTGGCGAATTCCCAATCAGGAAAAAGATTAGGCTCCATAGAATCAAAGTAAACTTCTATTCGACACGCGGAAGTTTTATGCTACGTTCATTCAATATCTATGTGTGGATATACCTACGTGTCTGTGCACACATGCATATGTGCCTCGTGCTCGATCGGAGCTTCAATGAGAGTGCCTGACCTCCCTGAGCTTCCTCTGGAGCGACAGATTCTATGCACGGCCAGAAGAGTCATTCCAATAGATTTCTTCCTACGACGAGGGCTCTGGATCATGTAATCGCATTTTTTCCTGGGAGTCTATAGAGGCTGTCCCGCCTTTGAATGAGCTCCACATTGGATATTCCCATCCTGATCCATGCGGTTGTTTGGGCATAGTCAGAGATTTTGGCATTGGTACAAGACACGCATGTTACACGGTTGCCGGCTTTCAAACTGTCAGGGGTCCGTCTACCTCGCGATCACTTGTGAAGAGATTGAGGGTGGCCCTGTGCCAAATACAACTCACAAGATGCCTAACGGATCGCGTAGCTCCGGCCGCACCCTCGGTATCACTCTTTGTATACAAAGCGACCAGACCCTTTCAGAATCTCCCTGCGTTGTGGGATCGTCTGATATTTCCACGTCTAATTAAACTGAGCGATCATGGTCACACGTAAACTACGTCGTTGGTCGTTCACCGGCCGTGAGCCCGATCCGCGGGTATTACATCGAATTTCCCTAATGGGGACATTTTCTCTGGAATTCCCCCCTTTGTGATCTCGATTGTTGCCTAAACGCGCAGTGGAGCATGTTAAGCATGCTCCTCTGAGGTATGCCTCTTCTGTTAGCTTCTGTACACCAACACAGAGCGAACCTTCTGTTGAGCGCTCCTCGAGGAATAGATTATGCGCACGTTGTTGTCTTCCTCTCTGCATGACAATGCCAATCTGATGGTCATTGTTGGAACATCAAATGGTTTTTGTTGGGAAGCTCGACGAAGGTTACACTCAGGGAGATTTCCCGGTCACAAACTTTGCACAGTGTCCGCTCAGGCTTCCTGGAGAGTTTCGAGACCTATCATGGGACAAGAGTCCAAGCAGATCAAAAGCCGACCCTCGAGGCATTTGGGATAATCTCGGAAGAGTCGTTGACTGCAACAGACGAGTGATCTGTCCACGGAAAGAGACCTGAAGGCTGTTCCAGATGAAGCTGACCCGCGGATGATCTAGGCGTGTCTCGGCGAGTAATTCTCATGAGTCATGAAGAATTGACGATTAGCCTCGCTCATCCACCCGGACCCCGAGTATCCGCTTCCAAGCCTCCGACTTCGCGACTTTGGAGATGAATAGCCCAGGAGTCCTGCACCTGGACCCGACGGATGTCCTCCCGCACGAAGGAGCCGCTCCTGTCGGGCGCAAGCAACTCGTGTCCCGGGGATTCCGATCGGGGCTAGGTCCGAAAATCCTCGAACGGAGAGAGATCTCAAGTTCACGGCAGTCGAAAGCTTCATAGTGTTTTGAAGGGAATGGTTCGTCGGACAGATCGAATTAAATGAATTCCAAGGATGTATAGGCAAGGAGAACGAATTTTTCTCAAGTTTTCCAAGCAGGAATCGCAGAACTAGCTCGCTACCTCCGCGGAGCGCCTTTCCATTCCATAGAGGGGAACTCGAAGATGTACTCCGAGTTCCAATGGCCTAGCGGATATTTACACATAGTTATGCACACAATAATGTCGGAACGATAAAGCTCCGGTTCGGGGATTCCAGAGATGGGAATGTATCAGGAGATTCCTTAGTCCTCGCCGCTCTCCAAGTTTCGAGGAAAGGAGCCTGAACCGGCCTCACGGCGACCCTCTCTTCGAATGACGGAAACGCTTCCAGCACGTTTCCTTGGCGAGGATCGGATCGTATTCCGGCTTCTTTTCTTCAGCAGATTTCCAGGTCTACTACACGGGGATGATGGTGTCGATATTATTCTGTATCAAAGTGTTCTTCACAGAATCGAAGACGAAACGGATATTGTTTGTATCTGCGAGATAAAATGAGAGACGCATTTGAGACCTCTCTCGACTGATATACTTCTGACGGCGGTGATCATCACACCTTCTATTCACAGAAAGCATCGGCGAGTTTGGGGGAAAATTAACGTACCAGTCGCACAGGTGAAATGTGAGTAGATTTGCCTGGGTTTCATTCCGAATTCACCCTCGTTGACGGCGAGGAACATGTCCAGAATGAATTGCCGAGCCTGATAAGCGTCGGCTTTCGGACCGGTGTACTCTGGGAAATAGTCCGCCAGATGCGAATTGGCAATTTTTTCTTCGAGAAGGTCCTGGGGAGGGGAATGCGATAAGCAAGACCTCCTGCGATATCGCTGCGCCGTGAACGCTTCATGTAAGTATTCTTGAACGGATACAGATTGACGGGAGGAATTCTCAGAACCTTTTTGTTCAGGAACAGGATCATCGACGCGTTTTGAAACCACTTGTATGAAATGATGAGTTTGAACAAAGCCAAGGACTCCTCCATGCGGTTGACGTTGTCTTTTTCGAGCAAAACCTATGATCGAATGGATATTGGATTCAGATGGTGAAAATAGATTTGAAAACGCGGAGAGTGAAGGGATTTCTCCACGGTTGAAAAGCTTCAATCCTCGCGTGCCGAGGAGCATGCGGGCAATTCTTCCGAATCGATCGATCACAGAATCTCCAGGCTCACCTGGTCGTATTCGGAAACAGCGACAAGGAATACGATAGAAGTCACATTCGAAAAACAATGAATCCATCTGTGTCTCTCAGACCGCTGGCCACCCACATCCACCATTCGAAACCTATGGGAATTTATTTCGAATGTGTAGTCGACGACACCTGGAATTCAATTGCTCCCTCCAGTGGTCAAACCTTTCTGTTCTGAAATTCGATACGATTGGAAAGCTAAGGGATGCAGCGAGTCCGAGGGACGTTGAGAGCCCTACCCACGACAATTGTGATCGGAATTGAGTGTTTCGCGCTTTGAGAGCAGGGATAGCTTCTGGGCGAGGACAGTCTCCGCGAGGGATATTCGAGAAAATGCACTCTCTCACTCAAGAATCTTTGGAGCAGTCGTGGGGAGAAGCAGGATTCGGCAGGGGGAAAAGCGAACGGGGCCCGAAAAAAAGCCGACCAGTTGTAGTGAGTGGGGCAAGGTTTCGATCTTGAATTCAGCTGGTCAGTTAAGCCGATTTGAATCCAGCCCGCGGCATTCTACTCGTTCGACCGCCCGCCCCGCGACCGTCCACTTACCCGTAGTTGGCACTCGAACTCTTAGCACGTCCTCTTGATTCGGCAAAAAGTCTTCCGCTGCGAATCGGTCAACATTCGAAAGGAAGTATTTTGCCGAATCGGTCAGCTGGAACTCTCGCCGTCTGCGAGAAGAAGAAAAATCATTGCTACTATTCCTGGATGTGCCATTCAGAGAATTACGGTGGCCAGCCCGGCGTGCGGCAAGTGAACGGCATCCGGTTTAAGAAGACTGACCTCAAGCCCAGCCTTCGGTTGGGCGAATTTAATATCATGGTCATGTAGGATCCAGGTATCTGACGCTTGACTTGCATCTCGAGCAACACGTGTTCCATCACCCTAGCTATCGATAACCGTACCTTGCGTAGCACTCTTTGATCCCGGGGTCGTCCCACAACTTCTTAAGGGCCTGCACGTAGGGTTCACCAAAAGTTGATACCGTTCGATACTCTATCGCGCTTATCAAGTTGGCATCGGCGAGTCTTTCCCGTGCAGCGTATTGGATGCCGAGGAGCTTCATCGCATCGATGAGCGACTGCATCGCCATAAATATGTTCTGATAGACGATTCGAGCGAATTCTGGAAAGCAATGCCCGATGAATATCGACTTTTACGGAAGTATCAGGTCGCGATGTTTTTCTGACGAATTCCCGCATCTCGGATAGGTAGTGTCTCCTCACGTGCTCGATCTTTCTCGGTGTATCCTCTGCCATGGATGATCCTCATCTGTTTGATGAAGGTCGATTTCCCACTTTCGCCGGTCCCTGGAAATGAAGACTATTTTTCGAGGCAAACTCATCAATGAGCGCCCTTCTTTTCTCGGTTAGCGATGGATCCCCCCCGTTGAAAGCCCGGCTCGATTTTCTCCCTCATCCGACGCAGATACGGGCGACACGGTTCCCTCAGCCGCATTCTGAGCACGCAGTTGATGGAATCGAAGCGATCGTGTTGATTTGTGTCGCGATGGATTCGTGTCCGGAACTGTACAGGTTCGACACACAAATTAAGTGGGGAGATCCGGCGGGTCCGTAACCCGAAGAACTCCCCCAGGGACCGTCTCCTAAGCCGAACTTTTCCAAAATTACGAATGAGGTGAAGATGAAAGAAAAGTAGAAGACGAGTAGCTTCTCCCGGGCGAAATCAGTCCGAAGATGGCGAGCTCCGATCAAGAATTGAAACCCCCCTCCCTCCTCCGTAATGAGCGGGACTCGCAGCCTCACCGAGCAGTAATAGCTTCAACTCGTTGTAGTCCTGCTTTTTGTATCGCCGAAGCTGCTCCTCGATTGCTTTGTTGATAGATCGCTTGGTTTTCTCCTCTTCGGTTAGACAACAAGTGATCATATCGAGCGTGGACCGTGTCTGCAATCAAGATAGAATTCTCAATTCCCAGTCCCATCTGGGGAAAATGAAAGAACGACCTCTCCAGGCGCTCCGGAGCTGATATAGCATACCACAAATATTCTCATAGAAGGGCATGCGGCATGCCCGTCTATTTTTCGACCCCTCCGAAACCTGCCCGTCTATTAGGGACTGACCGTCTATCGGAGACTGTCCGTCTATTTCTTCTATCCCCCGACAAGGGAATAGGACCAGGTTGCTTATGTAGCCATATCAAAACTCAAACCGTCAAATAAATGCCTAGACCAGGCTAGATCTTCATATACGCAAGCTTCGAGAGAAGTTCACGTTTTCCGCGACTTGGGCACCTGAATTCCTGCCCCCCAAACCTGCCCGTCTCTTAGAGACCGCCTGTCTATTGGGACTGCCCTTCAATTAGAATATTTACGGTATTTATCTATCCGCTCCTCCATCCGTTTGAGCTGATCCTGCAGCGGATAGTAGAGCTCAGAAATCATCCGGCACCGTTCGATTCCTCCCGAGATCGTGAGCCCACCCGCTTGTTGAGCGGCAGCGCGCTTATCAAAGTTGGAAACAAGCTTTAACACCTAAGTTCGGCTTTAATCCGGTGAGCTTGATAACATTAAGGAGGCGCTCGTTCGTTCCCTGTAGTTATTGAGATCGGCAGACTGCTCAGCCATCAAGGCTCTAAACTGGGAGCATCAATTATCGTTGAACAATCACGACGAAGAAATAGTCACTCGGGGAAATATAGAAAGAGCTCTCGAAGGGAGAAAAAAAATCAAGCACTCCGCGAAACACACAGAGTCTAGATTTCAGCGGAGTATCGGATATCGATTGGAGGGGCGGATGCATCGATACACAGCCCCGGGAGTCATGTTTCTCGATACGATGATTAAGAAATCGATCGGAATGTACTTGGGAAAACGGGCCCAGAAGTACTAGTACTTGAGAATTCGTCGACTCATCCGAACAATTCTCATTTTCGTCCGCTGTGGCTCGAGGAAGAATGATCATTTCATGAATGATCTCAATGGATCCGTCTCAATACCTTCTGAGAGCTGGAAAACGTAGATCTCTATTTCCACCGGATTCTTGAGCAGCGCGGAAATCCCGAAATCGAGGAGGGTCACCCGGAAGATTCGCGGTTCCATTCTAGAGAAAGGGAGCGATCTTCGTCGCGCATCCGTCGGATTTCTCGAATGCTCTTCGTAGAGTCGAGACCCGATGAAAATATCCGCTCACCTCTCACCTCCACCATCGGGCACCATGTTCGAATGACCCTCATCGACTCATGACGAGCCAAGGGCGACGCCTTCCGAAAATTCGTCCAAAGAATGAGAAATAATCACGTCTTACCATTCTGATATAAACACACCCGTATCGAGCGAAAATCACGAGGCGAAACACTGTCTACTAACGTTCCACTTTGCGCCAACTCGAGAATTCTTCAGCAGCGTATCGGCGTCAAGCCAGGAGAAGGGCGGCGAACAACGCCTGTTGATCTCGCCTAGCATCAGCTTTACGATTGTTTCAAGTGCGCAAGATTAAGGGAAGCGTTGAGAGTGGAATAGCTCCGAATACTGCCGACACCGAACGGAAACAAGTGCGAAACGAACACAAGAGATGTCAGCCGACGCCTGTCCTGGCGTCCGCGAGGGAAGACTACATTTGGCCATCCCTCGAAAAACCAGAACAAGAAATCGGTGTAGGCTCTGACTTCCGAATTGAGCTTCATCTGATGATTTCACCTACGATGATCGGGTACGATTGAGCGCAGTCTATGTTCGGTCCGAGGTCTCCACTCTCTCAGACCTCATTAACGAAAAGGGCGAGATGATCCAGAAAAATCCCTGCTTTTCGGTCGCGACTTGCATCTTGACCATGGATCATTCACGAGGCCAGTTCTGCTCAACTAAATTCTTTCAAGGGCTGCAACCCTCGCTGTTTTGTTTCTTGCGCGCCGGTGCACAAATCTCTGGTGGGTATGTTGACGGTGGTGAGGAAGATTAGAAGAGTCTTACGAGCCAGCAGAAATGTCAACATTAGTCCGCTGTGATCCCATCTTATCCCTTCGTATCTGGGAGTCTCATCCTCGTCTCCGCTGTCCCGCAATGCCGGCTACCCGACTCACCCCCGGATAGGAGAAAACCTCTCCCAATAAAGCCGGTTAGCCGAGAGTTAACAAAGCGTGGGCGGTCGGCACCCTTGTTGCCACCTATTTAGCGAGTAATCCTTTTTTTACAGCCCCGAGCTCGTATTGTATCTCGGAGTGACGCGACGAGCAGAACAGACCCAACAGCTGTAAAATCCTGCCGCGACCCCGGAGGAAGACAGAAGGCACAATAATGGGAACAGAGCACGCTTGCGGAACATCGTTGTGGTGTGATCATCGATATCGTTAAGGCATCAACAATAAAATCAATGCTCCCTACCGAATGTCCGATACGGGAGGACAAGCGTCGATGGTTCCACTCAGCTGCTGCTGCTGCTGCTGCTCTGGTTGGGAAAGTCAGAGGAAAGCGGCATTTGACCAACGGTCGGATGGCGAACCGCTGCTGCCGCTGCTGGTGCTCATTCCCCGTCCCCTCTAATTCTGCTCTGTTGAATATGCTACGAGGCTGAATAATTCGTTTCAATCGCTAATGAGCTACAAGGGCCGGGTAAATCAGCCGACGCGGACTCGTTGCCCCAGAAGCAGGAGGTCGGACACGAGGGACAGCGGACTGAGGGGATGCCGATCAATTTATCTTGACGCTACGACATGCGACGCCGAGAACAGGAGCCGACTACATGTTGGTGCGTGGAATAGGAGCCACCGCCGGACGAGATCTCGGGAAAGCTCCAGGACATGAATGCTGCGGAATCACAGGACGCCCCGCCTTTCACCGGCGAACCTTAGTGTGTCTCCGCGGCGCGCCGTACAGGATGGAGTGTTGACGAAGAAGATGCCAGCACTGAACGTGCAAGACCAAACTTCTGCAGCGAAGAAAAGCGCTCCACCAAACCATACTTGATTCCGGCGGTCACAGCCCCCCCTCAGAGATTATGGCTGCGAGCGGGGTGCGCGTGGATGTGACTTTGCTCTACTCACGTATCAGGGGACTTTCTATTTTTATCGTCATTAAAGTGCCGGCCGTGAGAAGCGGAACCATACGTCGTCACCTTCCTCCTCGAGTCAGATCATCCCCCGGAAGAGTTTTCATGTCCCCAGGGAATCGTTAGATTCACTCCAAGTCCTCCGCCTTCGGTAGAGGTACGAGCGTCGGTGCCGGCGAATCAAGCCTGCCTCCCCCCGAAAATCTAAGGCGAATCTAGTCTTTCAGCGCCTATCGTAGGTACTCAATTAGATGATCTCCCGCCATCGCTCGGGGAATTTCATCTCGGGAGCCAGCGCCAGTTGGAATCACCTTGATTTGAAATATTCCAGAACGATTCGATAATCATTCTTCCACTTCGCCGTCATTCCTCCCGGCAGAGGCTGCCAACATTCAACAATTCACGCATATTTTACATGATGTTCACGTCCCCTGCCGGAGACCAAGTCGACCGGAATTAGAATGATGTCACCACGGTTGCCTCTCTCATTGGTATATCTCCTGCTTCCAATCCGATTCTAGCGTGCGAGTAAGAGATCGACGAGCTTGGCATCTTTCAGCGAAGGGCGAGTCAGTTTCCTGATTTCCAACGAGATTCTGTATTTCATTCCATTCTTAGAATGACATGTTATTTTTTAACCGAAAGTAACCACCGCTTCCGAGCGAGCTTCATCGACTTCCGAAAATGGGGAGTATCGCTCGTCGCCGAAGAGTCTCCGGATCGAGCTCCCGCCTGGATATCGTTTATCCTCGTCGTGTTCCCCTCCTCGCGGCTCCGATCCTGCAAAACTCGACTCTGCGATCTCAGGGAAATTTTATGTCTCCGCTCTGGAGGGATATCCCGATCAAATAGTGGGAACACCAAACTGTGCCGGAGCCGATGGAGAGGGCATCGGTGGAAACAAAATTAGAGTATCGGAGAGTCGCGAGGAGTGAGGTCGCTTTGATTGCTGTCGGGCGGAAATTGAGAGGAGCGAGTCATGAATACGTTTTGACTTAGTTCCTTGAGCCCGAGGTCGAGCCGTAGAATTCCCGCGACGGGAACGTCGAGATGAGATTCGGGGATTGTTTTATGCAGATGACACCAGCGGTGGTGCCAACGGTGGTTCCGAATCCGAGGTAACTCTCACCGATATTGAATCCAACGGAGAAGCTCGATCCGTGTCTCGTCGGGAAATTTTTCTCGTCACGGCCCGGCTGGCAAGAGATCATTCGTGCCCTTTTCCAAGCTATATGGTTCCCATAACGAATTCAGACTGGAACGAAATTCCCATATGATTCTGCTCCGAGAATGGATTGTCGATGGGAGAGCTTCGGGGCGCGGGATTCCCCCGGAGGTCGCCATTGATTAGAAACTAATCATGACCCGGAAAAGGACACGTCCTCATCATGACCAGTTTCCCTCTACGGATCATAGTCGGGCGGTGATTCCACGCAGAGAAGGGTTCTGGCTCGGCAGTTGACAAGCGAAAATCGGATCGAGGCGAGGAAGTTCTCAAATTAATGGGGACTCGAAGAACGCTCCGGGAATCCGCGTAGATCTCCAGCCAGCGGAGCTGTCCTGTGAGCGAGATACACATCCTCTCATTAGTAGGTACACGCTCGGTCTCGAGCGGATAAAGCTCCCAACTCTGTGAGGTGGTGAATAGGCAAACCCGCCCCCGCCGGTGCGGTGGGGGGGGGTGCGTTCGTTTCTGAAAAGGTCTTTGACGTCACCGGGATCGGGTCGGCTGCCTGCGTGAATAGTCACAAGACCGGATGATATCAGAGCGGCGTACAAGGAGGGAAACAAGGAGGCATTGTGAATCGACAATGGCGCGAGTATCCTAATGATTGTAGAGGTGCCCGTCTTGTATATCTAGAGCTTTGTGCTTCCAGAATTTCGCTCCCGCCTGAGACCTGCTGTAGAGGCTTGCATCAGCTTCCAAGAAAAATAACTTGATCCGCGTTCTAAATTAATCAGGTTGGCAGGAGGCTCTGGAACTGACTCTTTGGAACCTCCGAAAACAATGAGGGATCGGGACTATGCTGGAGGAAGACACGAGAGAGCAAAAACTAAGGAGCCGACTACTCGGAAGGTACGTAATTGTCGCGGACGGGCTATACGGAAGTGCAAGCACGGAGCCGCGTCGATCCCTCTCGATAGAAACGGACACGTGGGACGTCAGCCTGAATGCAAGCGGACTCGCTCAGCTAATCAGGGCCAGCGACAAAGCGAACGATACTTGGCAAAAAAACTGATTCGAATCGCGACGCTTCGCTTGAATTTCGCTGACGAGCTCCGATACCGGCCAAAAATGCTTACCGACTCGAAGCACTGAACGTGCCCTGAGACAACGGAGGTTGTCACGGAGCTTCGAGAAGCTCCTGTTTTTATATGTCGTTCATTCTCGGCGTGTTCGATCGGAGTCTTTGACTCCCATGTCGACTCTCGGGAACCCCGTGCTGCATAAGAGTCCGGTGAGCAAAATTGAATAGATGCTCGCTTGCTCGACCAAACGTTTGGACGAACTTGCTGGCCAGTCTCGCTGTGAACGAGAATCGAGAGAGCAGCCATTGATCAGGTGATCTTTTGAATAATTCATAGAGATTTGAGAATGAAGGAGGAATCGTTCTCCTGTGGCAACATTGCTTTCTATCAGACTCCATCCTTTTCGGGACGAGGGAATCGGCATACCGCGCGGTCGGTGGATCGGAAATATTTACCGGTAATATCCGACAACAGACGAGCCGATCTCTATCGTTCGGCTCATGCCCTCTGTTTGGCTAGGTACACGAATAGAGACATTCGTCTTGTTGACATCCTCACTGTAGGTGAGCGTCGCCGGACTTATTGGCTACGACTCCAGTTGGTGCCCTGAGTAAAAAGGAGAGGAATAATCCCCGAGAGTGAGCCTTCGTGTGAGGTAATTGACCAAGCTTCGCATAGGAATCGTCTCGGTCGAACTCGTTTATTGATAAATCTACAGCAGTTCACCCATTCTCCGAGAGGGGTCATCTCCCGAGAGGATTCTCTGTGCGTTCGCTCGTTCAGCCTCGAACCTTTGAGGTTCGATCTCTGTTCGGGAATCGAGCCTTGACTTCCGGTGGGATGTATTCCTCCTCAGTCTTCTTGGTTTCTCCTCGTGCCGCCTGGACCTCCGTGAGGATCATTTCTATTTTGTTCCAGCTGGAATGAGGGATACATGAGTGCTCCTTCTCAATTTGATTGAATGTACCTAATCAAATCGCGCTCAATCGTATGCTACGAGTTCCTGTGCGCCTTCGATGGATGCACCAGCATGCACTCGATATCGAGATATGCATCGAGTCGTTCTTCCCCGGCAAACATTACATCGCATCAATGATTCAAGTCCTCAATCTGCGGTATTGACTCACTTCTCAAACGCATACAGAAGTTCTTCTTTCTTCAAGAGCTCTTCCTTCCTTTTCTTGAGGGCCTCGAACCGCGTGTCCCTTTCGATCTTCCAGTCTCTGTCGGACTTCTCTGATCTTCTCCGCTCCGGATATGAGCGGATAGATTCTCTCAGAGTCTGTATATCGGCTTCTTCAACGCTTCCGAGCTTCGGAACATCTTTCTCGAGCAATTCTGTCAACGTCGCTTTGTTGGTCTGGGAATCAAGGAAGGCGAGTTCTTATGATTCGTGACCTTGAACGACATTTTGCCACAACGGAATGACGAATTATCTCGACTGATGTGAGGAAAATCACCTTAATCTTAGAGAGTTCTGCTTTAACCCATTCAGGAACTGCGCTCCCGACAGCGGCCGCTCCCTCTGTAGTCTTCTGTCCGTCTTCGGGGGTTGCTTCAGCTTCGTCGGATTTCTCCTCTGATGAGACCTCCTCCGCTGCTTCTGCTTGAGCGCTTATTCTATCCAGACAAAGACTCTTGGTGTCTGACGAGATTTCAGTAACTGTTCTCAATTCCTTCCTGAAGTCGTCCCATTTCTGTCGTCGCGCCATGCCGATCAATATCGCTGAGTCGCGCACGGCCCCTTCCGAAACCCGTCCGAAAAATATCAGAGTCTTCCCGAGGAGATCGTTCGGGTCGGTCAGATCGAAGTGATCGTCGAACCACGGGTTGGTGATGTTCGGTACGCGCACGTACTGGATCTCGTCATCGTCGTCATCTTCGGCTGCTTCGGGCGCGGGCTCCTCTTTCTTCCACGGAGCGGCTTTCGAGCCAGCGGACAGGTATCTGCGAAGGACGGAATTTGTCAAATGGCTTCAATAATTGTCCCCCCCTCCGAAATTCGCGGGAGTTCAAATGGTAGTTCGATCGACTTTGAGATTCGTCGACCACATATGCCAACGATCAGTTCGTTTTTCAATTGTTCGATCCATAGTCCACAGATCAACGACCTCACCTCGCGCAAGCTATCAGAGAAAGAGTTTTCGAGATCTGATTTCCCTCATCTTCTTGCAGGGCCATGTGTACCGCGACTTTGGCAGCACTCCGAAGCATGTTCCGGGTCAGGAAATGGTCGAGCATGATGTTGATCGTTTGCGTGTCAGGGAAGATTCCATAGTTATGGCGGTCTTCCAGGAAATCGATGAGCTTATCTTCAAAGCCATTTTTCAAACAGTATCGAACTACGGCGGTGATCGAAGACGGTAGAACGTTTACTGTATGTTTAGATCGACGGAATCTGGAAGAAACGTCGGGGTGACTGGATAGTCTTTCGATCGAGGACTTAATGGAGACAGCAGTTTCGAGAAGAAATCAGAAGAGAGCCGGATACGGTCGCTTCGGACAGGTTCCGGACGCGGTGAAGCCTCCGAATGATGAGCTAATTCGCGCCCAGCCAGAAGTTACCGAGAAATTTTTCACCTGCTCAATGAATTGTCCAGTTCATCCAGAACCTTTGCGGCTTCGATGGAGTTCACGAAAATGTCAAAATCCAGAGCAACGTGAGTCTCTGCTTTGTTTGCTATCTTCCTGAGCAGATTCACGAACGAGCCTTCGATATTGACGTTTTGCAAGAGAGGATCGCCCTTTCTCGACTCATTCCACTCTTTTTCACAAAGGTACTGTGCTGAGAGATAATTGCGTCGACTCTGGGCCCAAATCGCTCGATTTGCGAGGAATTTCGCGAATCTCGCGGAGCGCGCAGCCGCCCGCATGGTCGTCGCCATTATTCTCGGATTCGACCGCGATAGAAGCTTCACTGTACTAGATCGCATCAGATCGCGCGGAAAACAGCATCCGAGGTCGCATCCGGGTTCGTTTTCCGAAAATTATACTTTTTCATATTGGAGCGTTCCATCCCAGGGTGCCTTCCGAACGAATGTCAACGAGCCTAGGTCCGAAACTGGACAATCAGCCTGCACCGGCTCCGAGTGCGCTCCGGGTCTGAATGCTGTCGAGGACGTTGAACCGGGCGCAACCTTTGCATTTTCCCGAAAGTTTCCGTGAAAAGCTGAGCAGGGAGCGCGGCTCGAGGATCCGCTCGAGATCTCACTCTTGACTCCTGTCCCGGATGACGGAGAACAAAACAAAGCTTCCATGCGCAATCTTCCTCTCAGTGGACGGTGGTGACGGTCGTCGTCGCCGCTGCCTGCTCTCTGGTAAAGTTGGTGTGTGTGTGTCTCTATCATCTATCCCCTTGTTGGACAGCGGTGTGAGGAGGTCGTCCCGGTTGTGTTCTATCGCCAGTCAAAATGCTGCGCTCCCTCGCAAGTCGTTCCATCCGCTCGGTTGGAGCCACGATTACTCTTCGTGCGCCTCAAACGTTGAGAATGATGTCTGGCCAGGTAAGACTTTGACGGGGCTTCACTTCTTGACCTTGATCGCGAGTCCTCGAACCGGTCCCTGAAAACTCGCTGTCGTCGAAACTACTCTGGATTCGTCGCGGAGCGCGATGACCAGAGATTCAGCGGGACTACTCAATATGTAGGCGATTCGTACTCTCGACGGGTCAGCCCCGAAACTGTATCGACCCCGAGTTATCTCGCTGCTTATCAACATGGACGAAATCGCGCGAATGAACGACACATGTCACCGCGGATGGTAGAGATAGAAATTCGAAATTTATCTCGTCCTTCTGCCTGAAACATTTCCTGCCGACGGAGATAGCGTCCTGACGAAATTCTGTCGATCCTGAAAATCGTCGACGACCAACTCCGTGCTCTGACTGGCAGAACATCCCCTCCGGCATATCTTTCGAATTGTCTCGGTGACATGGTGCTGCCGCTATCTATAGGGACCTTCCGCAAGGGCAGGAGATGTCTACGAGCTCGGAAACGTCATCTCGGCATCTCTGTGCGGCGGTCGGATGGTCCATCGAACGACATGCGTGAATTGTAACGGAAGCATCTCCGCGCACGCTTTCACGTTCGACCATCCTCCCTGTCAGACGTCTCGAAACTTCTCCCGATGCCAGCGAGAATAATAAACGAAGATTTTATATTCAGGTGCGAATCGAATCGGATACTTTCGGTGAGCTCAAGGTGCCAGTCGAGAAGTATTATGGCGCTCAGACCGCGCGCTCTATGATGAACTTCGACATTGGAGGCGAACGGGAGCGAATGCCGGAGGCTGTAATCAAGGCGTTCGCCACGTTAAAGAAAGCGGCGGCCATTGTCAACAAAGAATACGGTCTGGAGCCGAAACTCGCCGATGCAATCTCGAAAGCAGCTGATGACGTCATCGGCGGTACGATCGGACTCGATCACTTCCCGCTGGTCATTTGGCAGACTGGATCCGGGACGCAATCAAACATGAACATGAACGAGGTTTTGGCGAATCGGGCGATCGAATCGCTCGGAGGGGAACTCGGTTCTAAGAAACCCGTGCATCCCAACGATCACGTCAACAAGTCCCAATCGTCGAACGACACCTATCCGACGGCAATGCATATTGCCGTGGCGGTCGAAATCCACCAGCGCCTCCTGCCGTCGCTCGAGAAGCTCCTCGCTGCCCTGCGAGAGAAGGAGAACGAGTTCGCGACCATCATCAAGATCGGGAGGACTCATACTCAGGACGCCGTACCCCTCACCTTAGGTTGGTTCTTGAGATCAATATGTACATATCTCGGAATCTCGGCCTCTGAACCGAATCATAGTCAGAAGTTCGAAACCCCAATTCAGATGTTCAATCCCGAGATGAATCGATATCACTTTTTACTCCTTTAGGTCAAGAATTCGGAGGATACGCGACTCAAATCGAGTTCGGCATCCAGAGGGTGAAGGCGACTCTCCCCAGACTTTACTACCTCGCCGCGGGGGGCACCGCAGTCGGCACGGGTCTGAACACTCGCATCGGATTCGCGGAGAAAGTGGCGGAAACCGTCTCGAAACTCACGGATCTTCCTTTCCGGACGGCACCGAATAAGTTCGAAGCGCTAGCTTCCAACGACGCGATGGCCGAAGTCCACGGGTCCTTGAATGTCATCGCCTGTTCCCTAATGAAAATTGCCAACGATATTCGTTTCCTGGGCTCGGGTCCCCGCTGTGGCTTCGGTGAACTCTCACTGCCCGAAAACGAGCCCGGCTCGTCGATCATGCCCGGAAAAGTCAACCCCACTCAATGCGAAGCCGTGACCATGGTCGCCGCGCAAGTCATGGGCAACAACACCGCCGTGTCGGTCGGTTGTTCGAATGGGCATTTCGAACTGAATGTTTTCAAACCAATGATCGTCGCCAACGTTCTGCGGTCCATCCGCTTGATTGCGGATTCGTCGCGGAGCTTCACCGACAATTGCGTCGTCGGCATCAAGCCCAACAAGGAACGTATCTCGAAACTGCTCAACGAGTCCCTCATGCTGGTGACGGCTCTCAATCCTCACATCGGATACGACAAAGCGGCCCAGATCGCTAAGCTGGCGCACAAGGAAGGCAGCACGTTGAAGGCAACCGCTGTCAAGCTGGGACACTTGACTCCCGAACAGTTCGATGAGATGGTCGTCCCCCACGACATGCTTGGCCCGAAGTAAAGAGTGTATCCGTCAGAATTTAGGCGTGAACTCAGGAACATTTGGATGCTTGGATGAGTGGGTATTCTTGCGAGATCGGAGATTCCTGCCCTTCGGTTCCGGGTCGCTCGGTTCGAGGTAACCGGAGAACTTTGTTCCCTGAATTGAAAGAGAGAGTTGAACAAGTCCGCGGTGTCGGGAGAGAAGAGCGGCGCGATCGGAGAATGCGCGAGTGCACAAATGGAACGATTGAAAGAGAATAAATAAACTACGGAAGAGATGGACTAGTTTCCTCATTCCAGTCGGAGAATTGATCTCCTCCCGCACGTTGCCCCCGGTGAGGGAGCACGTCGCCTCCGTTGAGGGAGCCCGTCGCTCCTTTCCGGGTATCAACACCCGGACCTCCGGCGCGGGGATCGTGGCGGGCGATCCGAACGATCTGAGTCGACGGCATGCTACAGTGAAGAACGAATGATCCCGGAGAGAGGATTCTTTTGTTTTAATCGAAGGCGTTGGAATAGATCAACGACTATGAAGTCGAAATAGAGCAGCCCCCTCTTATATATCCAGGTCGTCGTCTGGATCGTCTTCTTCATCGAAATCGTCTTCGCGGTCGAGAGTGTAGGTGATTTGACCAGCCCTGAAAAATCACCGCATGAGGTCATCAATCCGATACGCGGAAGGAGGTTCGATCAACGATAGTGCGAAGCCAGTCAATCAGTCCACTCACTCTGTGTAGGGTAGGACGAGTTTATCCTTATCTTTTTGTTCGTCTCCGGTTATATTGACGTTGAAGGTGAGGTCTGCCAATATACTCGCCGGCTGACTTCTGGCTCCTGCTGGGAGGACGGGGTCGTTGACGACAGAGCATTTGACGAGTCGGGAGTTCTGAATGACCACAATCTCTTTTTGCACGAGCGCTTTGCCTCGCGGTTTCTTCCACAAGCTCTCCACTTTGAAATCGTTCCCATTTCTCTCGAGGAGCTCCAGTTTTTGCGAGCACAGGTACTCGAGAGTCTCGAGTTCACCAGTCGACATCGATTCCCGATTCACCGAGACCACGATTTGACTCACTGAAAAAGAAGTCATTCATCGTCACTGAAATCTCATGATGAACGATGACTTACCCCGGCTCTATAGAGGCGACCCCGAAATCCGGGCCGGAGCTCCACCGTCGCGCGGGAATCCGAATTCCAAAATCAAATCGCAATTCTTTTGCAAGTCAAATACCCGTGGGGAGCGCAAGCCAGTTTATGAGTTGTTTGAACAGCGTCTGGAAATCCACATCAGCCAAGGCCTGAAGGAGCTCTAAGGAATGCAGTATGAGCACCGATTTCGGCTGAGAGACCTTAAAGTTTGGGGGCCAGAAAGGCGGGGCGATAGTCCCGGATTCCATAATATCCGGTCTCGAAGGATTGATGATATGTACATTGTAGCCTCTGAAAATCATTCAGTTATGAAACGACGACAACTTCGCGGCTCACTCCCGCCAGAAACATTCAGCAGTGAACTTACGCGGAGACCGTCTTACTTTTCGCGCAACTTCTCTCGGTATGTGCTGATCACTGCCAAGATGTTTTGTCGACAATCATCTGGAAGAGACTCATGCAGGATTTCACGCTGTGGACTCTACAGTGAGGAAAGACAATCTCCGTGAAGAGGTTATTGTCTCCACGTAGTCGGAGCTCGGATCTCACCGATCATTAAGAAGAGTCCCCGGATGTCCTCCGCATTCAGGAAATGATTCGCCATGATTCTCGCGGAGTCTCTACAATTACATCAAGAGTATCCGCTCAGTGGTTCCATGCTTGTCGTTCGATTCCAACTCGAACGAATAAACATTGAAGAGAAAGTCGCGCTGAGAAGTTGCATGTGCTTCCGTTAGACAAGCACTAAAGCGCGGAACCTCTCCCGCGATCGGAGTTCGGATCACCTTCACGTTTCATTTGATTCGCTCCATTCGATAACTTCATCAGTGACCGAGGGTACATCCCGGAACCCAAGGAGAGCCTCCGTGTCGGTCCCCAAGCTAGGGTCGGATTTTAGGGATACGCTGGACTTTGAACCGACTGCGGTCTCTCCTGTCAGCAGCGTATTCTCCCCATGGTCTCCGGTCTTTTGGCTAGCGGATAGGTGCCCGAATTCTTGAACTATGGCTGATGAATGCCGGGGTGTAGCTCGAATATTGATTCAGACAGATCTTGTGTCGGATCTATATATTCCAATCAGAAGTCATGGGTGGACAACAGAAAGCGGAACCTGAATGACCTCCAATTCTCGGACGGGTTTCTCGAAACCTCAGCTCTGTCCGGTCCCCCATTCATCTATCCCCAGGTTTTAGGAGGTCTCCAGTCAACATCGCTACATTCTCCCGCTTTTCTCTTAAATGGAGCTCGGCATTGTCAGGGAATAATACGAATCAGAAGCGTCCGTCGAGGGACAACTCAGAACAAATCGCAGACTTTCCACTCAACCTGGTGATCGACCGGGAATCCGCAACGATATCAGTCTTGTCATCAAATACCCCTATTTCCCGACCACGACCGCACTAATATCCCCTTGGCGAGAATTTTCCCGCGCGCAGCGTGCTCTCGCGACAGTAAGTCTTTCAGTCAGGCCCCCGATGAGGAAGCAGACGATATTAGATGAGCACAGCCGGTGTTTAGGGTCCTTGCTTGGTAAGTCCCGTACGTCGTCAACAGTCTCGCAGAGGGACCTAGAGCTGTACAATCAACATGAACTGCACGCTGACAAAGCTCAACCATCTCAGGAGTTTCGCCAGTAGCTCTATAAGGTGAGTACTCGAGCTTCAATGGATGTAAAGGCCCTCCTTTGAAGCTCTTGATAACTACAGGCGGACTGCCGGAAATCTTCTCTACTCCCGTGGAGGTCATTGAGAGCGCCGTGATTTAAGCCGGATTGCAACCGTAAATTGGGACAGAAGGTTCGGCCCGTTCCCGACGAAATCCCATCCCATTTCTCTCTGGAGGAGTCTCATTGATCCGCTGGCCAGCACGAATCCTTTCAGTGCGCGGTCATATTTTCTCCCGGCGAGATACGCCCAATTATTGAGATTCGAATCTGCGAACAGAAAGCGTCATCCGTCACAACAAGCGCTGGTCTTCTCCACGCAATTCTGAATAACATTCACTCGTAGATATCGAACGGAAGTGGCGCGGCGTCGCATCTGCTACCTGCGCGCCCCCGCTACGAATTAGAATGAATGATCTGAACCAGGATCAGTGTTCAGACGTAGCTTCGATCCCTTAAAAAAGAAATGGAGATGCTAGTGAATACGTATGGTTCAGTGACTGTATTCTCTCGCTCAGGGCCCTCTCTGTGGGTAGTGCGCGCTCCTCAGACCGCGAGAGCTGGCTGTCGAAGTTGCTCCATGTGAGAACCATCGATCCAGGGAAGTCGTCCCACTCGATCACCCTCGCCGATCCGAAAGCCGAGAAGATATACGAGCTGCAGGTTCACAACGCTTATCCTAAGGATCGAGATCAATACATCAGCGCATAGTGAGTCGAGAGGAACTACGAGAAACTTGATTCGACGGATGTTGCTCGAGAAGCCGCTCCTAGGCGCACCGTGCTTTAGCTCAGAACCGGGGCTCTAATTTCCCGTTCCAGTGAGAAATATGTTGCTGCAATAGCCCGGAAAGTGAGCACAGCCGAGCACATCGGGAGCTGGCAAGTGGTCATCGGCGATCAGGATCAATTTGGTAGGTTCAGTATGCTTCCAGAGAATTCACAGGACTCTCATCCGGGCGATATACCACCGCTCGCCTCCAGCCTTCAAGCTTTCTGCTCGTTTCCAGTGCATGTATGGCGCCACAGCGCGGGATATCCATCTGCTTCAGATTTCGTATGGGCTCACGTCAAGGACGACGAGATAAGGGGTCTCGTCGCAGATCAGAATAAGCTCATCAGATCTCGCGAGAATACTTTCATGCTGGCATTTTCCTTCTGGGGTCATCCAGAACCGAAAGTGAGTACAATCGATCCGAGCTCTCGAGTCCGCTTCGATTTATGTATGTGTATACCTGATGAGCTTCAATCGACGCTCGGGCATTTCCCTGCATTTCAGGCGAACGGAGGAATCTATGAGATGCGGTCATACATTTTGAAGCCGGGAACGATGAGCGAGTGGGGCAATAATTGGGCTCGCGGGATAACGTTCCGACGAGAGAACGCTGTAGCCGGATTCTTCAGTCAAATAGGACAACTACACATGGTGCATCATTTTTGGAGTGAGTCGGCACCAAGGGGTCGATGACTTTGAATGGAGCTTCAATCATTGTACGTGCAGGGAAAGAGTTCAAATTCATTAATTTTGATTTTTACGACTCGTCTACCTTCTGCAGCTTACAAGAGCCTGACCGATCGCAAACAGACCCGTGAGAGGAATTGGCAGAAACCGGGCTGGGATGAATGCGTCGCGTATACGGTACCATTGATCCGCGAGATGAGGTCGAGATGGTTGTTCGCTCTGCCTTTCTCTCCTCTGAAGTGAATCGAGAGATGTTCGATCTAATCTCCGGTGACTGGCTTGTCGTCCGAGCGTAGCGATTTCGAACGTGACAGACGTCGAAGAGATGACGTGGGAGGGTGCCGGCGCTCGGACGTTTTTTCGAGGAGTCAAGTCTCGGAGTCGCACAAGCGAACCGTACGATGCATACGAGACGAATTCATGCTTCCAAAGAGAAAGTGAGGATGCATTCATTTCGTTGCTGCTGACTCCTACTGGAGCAGATCGATGTCGGACAATTATCGGAACGACTGCTGTACATACGAAATAAAAAAGAGCTTCTTGCAGCTCAAGCGTTTTTCTCATGGATGGAGATGATTTTTCGTGGTGTGATCAGCCCGGCCCGAGGAGGGCCGGTAACCGAGAGGTTCCCGTCTGGGCAGAGTCGAACGGAATCGGATTCCACTAATTGAAAAGAAAATCTAGAGATATTCCGGTGTAGACTGTGAAAATTAGGGCCGGGTGTGGAATTGATGCGACGGAAATATTTCTGTCCTGTGCTGTGAAGCTCCGAGAGACCTTGAACCAAAGAGGATCTCTGATTGAGAGAGACTGCACCGACTTTAGTATAGCCGAAGAGTGATATCAGGTACATTATTAGTCCTGGCTCGAGCAAGTCGTATGAGGCCGTTTCCAGATGCTCGTTCTGCGAGAAACCGTGCGAGACGCACTCCCCAGATCTGGGAATTCCGGGATTTCCGTCCCTCCAAGCAGAGATCATCGTCACCGATATCTGGAAAGATCGTCTGCTTCCCGAAATCCCGTTCGGCACATTCAAGTTGGTAACTTCATTGGAGGCCCCCGTCACTCCCGAATAAAGTCCAATCAAAATTGAGCGTGCAAGCTTCCCTTCAGAGCACCGCCCTCGCCATCTGTCTTCCTGTGGAATCCCTCGTCTAGTCTTGACAGTTCGGGGCTCTCGCAAGACTCTCAAAACACAAGTGAGAACTCCCCCCACAGATTTCCGGAGATCTCGTGAGTCAGTGACAGAATTTCACGGAGTGAGTCGTGAAAATTTCCATGTCCAATGTCGACCATCCATGCACGAATAACTTTCACCGTCCGTGTGTGAGTCGACAATAAATCCGGCTGCATGGGGTGACTACCGAAGTCTTGCAATTTTTTGTACCGGGCGAATCGATTCCTTCAATTACATCATGCTTCTCTCCTCTTGAGAATCTTTAGTCATGCGGATAATCGCGCACACGAAACTCTTAGAGTCGCATTTCCGGAGCAGAAATAAAGCTTGAAAAAAATTGCACCGATAAGCGTTGGGTTGAGGGATTTATTTACCTGAATTATGGCATTCCGGATCGTATCATCCCTTTGAGTGATTCAGTGGAGCCGGACCGGATGTGCTTTGTCATGCCTTCTCAACTTGTTCGAGAAGCGCTTCCTTATTCCCCCACTGAGTGTGAGTTTTCCATCAAAGATTGCCCCATCTCAGACATGGGTCTCGAGTCAACTCAGGTACTCTCTGCTAGAATCACTGCCTTGGATAACTTGGAGCACCGAAGAAGTCTTCCGGCGTTGCGCGAATATTCAGAGGAGTCTTTCGTTTTCCCAGAGAATGGAGCCATTGTTCCACCGTGGTTTGAATACCCTCAGGGTACCTGCTTCGCTTTTCGCCAAGAATCGCCAGAGACTGAGCGACAGGATGAGGGCTAATCAGAAATGCGTCAAGGTGAGAAAAGTCGTTGTGGTGCGGTCCAAGTCCAAGGGCCCGATTATTATGTGAGCGAGACAAGTCTGAGGGGAGTAGTCTACATGAGCGAACGCTATCTCTGTTCTAGGCCAAGGCTCTCATACTCCTGAAGGGAGGCGAGACCTCATACCGTTACTGTACTGACAAAGAAGATCTCTTCCGACAAGAATCGTACTTCCATTGGACATTCGGTGTCGAAGAGCCGGACTGCCTCGGAATCGTCGAGGTGAGCATAGGCGGCATCTGCTCTGAGATTAACAAGTCTCCGATGTTTCCCGCAACAATGAGAAGCATTGCTTCCTTCCATTCTATGAGCGCCCTTGCAGGTGGCAACTGCGAAATCTACTCTTTTCGTGCCAAGATTGCCAGAATCCTATGCGGTTTGGTGTGGGAAAATTTGGAGCTTGGACGAATTCAAGACAAAGTACGGAACCGACCAGGTCCTGTATGTTGATGAGATCGCGGATTTCCTCAAGGTAAGCCATTGAGACTTTCGGGGTGAACAGGGAGCGCCAAACTCTGCTTAGCCGATTCTCATCGAGCCCACGTTACAGAAACAAGGTCCCGAAATGATTTATCTGTTGGAAGGGACGAACTCTGATTCCGGACTCAAGACGGAGCCCGCAACGTTCGATGGGATCGAGAGCTACAAGATCGACAAGGAAGTCCTGTATCCCGAGATCAGTGAATTGCGCGTCATCAAGACACCCGAGGTGAGCGATATTGCTGCGCTCCATGGGTTAATCTTTCCGGAGACCAATCGGGGAGATGGCATTTGGGGCGGTTCCGCAGCCGATAAAGCTCAACTGTATTCTCTCAGGAAATCGAGGTGATTCGATATGCCAATCAGATCAGTTCAGAAGCGCACAAGCTCGTTATGCGTTCAATCCGCCCGGGAATGAAGGAGTACCAGCTCGAATCCCTGTTTTTGCATCACTGTTATTCCGAGGGTGGGGCGCGCCATGTATGCTACACCTGCATCGCTGGAACCGGGGTGAACAGCGCCATACTACACTACGGCCACTCCGGTGCTCCCAATTCCCGAACCCTCGAGGACGGCGATATGGCTCTCTTCGACATGGGTTGCGAATACCACTGTTATTGCTCGGACATCACTTGCTCCTTTCCGATCAATGGGAGATTCAACCAACAACAGAAATTGATTTACAACGCGGTACTGGATGCGAATAGAGCGGTCATGCAGGCTGCTAAACCAGGCGCCAATTGGAAGGATTTGCACATCCTTGCTGAAACGTGAGAAATGGCCGACTCAATTCTTTTCTGCTACTTCTTGAGATTACATCGCCGTTGAGACGATGGCCTTAAATCTTTTTGTTGCTATTTTTGACTGTGGAATGACGATGATCACAACTTTCAGCGTTATTCTCACGAGCTTGAAGGAGGGTGGTATTTTGAAAGGCGATGTCGACTCCATGGTCAAAGCTCGTTTGGGTTATTATTTCATGCCCCACGGTTTGGGACATCTCATGGGCTGCGATGTCCACGACGTTGGAGGTTATCTGAAAAGCTGTCCCGAGAGATCCACGGAGCTGGGATTGAAGTCTCTCAGGACCGCCAGAACTTTGCAGGTCAGTGCTCCGAATCAAGGAAGGAGCAAGTGAAAACTCGGCTACCCCGAAATCAATCAGCAACACGAATATGATGTCACTTCGAGCTCCGATGACATGGAATTCAGAGTCTAGGAGACACTCATTTCAAAATATTTCACAGGAGAATATGGTCCTCACTGTGGAGCCAGGATGCTACTTCATCGAGTGCCTTCTGGACAAAGCCATGAACGATCCAGAACTCAAGCAATTCCTCGTTGTCGACGAATTGAACAAATACAGAAATTTCGGGGGAGTGAGAATCGAGGACGATGTCGTCATCACAGCGGATGGCTGCGAAAACCTCACGCAAGTTCCGAGAACTGTCGATGAAATCGAAAGGTGGATGACGCCGAGATGATTTCTAGGCATCATCGGTCGCTTTTCGTAACAGAATATCATATTTTCGATGATTGACTTGACATACTGTCATATTTGAGGAGGAAATGTCTATCGCCGTGCCATATCGCAGGGATCGGGAGGATCTCTCTGCTTTCGAGAGTGCGGTCCAATAAAAGGTCATGGAAGCCACGCGATATTCTAAATGCCCGAAGAGAGACCGTGCGCCGCCCGTCGTGACGGCCAACCTCCCACCAAGGGAATGTTTCGATACGGCGATATCACGCGAGAGGCTAGGTCGATCGAATAAGAATGCCGGATGTATCGTACTTCAAGGCGAGGAGTAGCCTCCGTGCTCGTTTTTATATCAGTTCGGTCTCCCTCGAAATCTCCTCTCTTTCGTTAGGTCACGTGGAGGACTTCCACGAATATAAAACACTCTAACTGTAGATTGGGTTTGAACCTCATAAGTCTGGGCCGAAGGAGACAACTTTTCCTTCTAGCTGTGATGCGATCTGCAGAAGAGGATGTTCTTAAAAAGCCGAGCGAAAATAGATGATTGAACGATGAGTTGGCTCTCCTGGGGGGAGTCGGAGCACGACTTTAGCCGTACGCCATGAACAAGAATTATACAATATGCTTATCTCGCATCAATAAACAGACATCTGAAAAAGTCTCTGCTCTAGAGAGCCATGGCCGACGACGCCGCAGCTGATCCATGAAAGCTGAGAACCTGACAACAAGCGATAATCCTATGCTCGGACAATTATAATCGACTAGGAGTCGATCTGGGTTTGGCGTATTTACAAATGATGAGAACGATGCCACGGGGGTTTCGCCTCCTGAGTCTCGCTGTATGTGGAACGACTTAAAACGAGTGTCCCTTGAGATTCTCCGCTTACTACATATTTTCAGATCTTGATCGAGGCCATGCTGTTCAGGTAAATCCGATGCGACAGGAAGAACAGCAGAGAAGCCAGGAAGAGCATTGCTCCTTCGAAAAGAGCCATCTGAATCACACGTTCCGCAGGAAAAGCCTGAAATGGAAGGGCCATCTTAGAAGCCTCCAGCGGGTCACGAGGATACCCGGAATGATACTCGGGACGGCGGAGCACTCTGTCTTTGACTCATTTCCGCGTCCAAGTGAACGAGTCCACTTACGTCGAGTAGGAGTGCAGCTAGGAGAACACTAGCCGCTTCGACGAGGCATGCCCCAGAGTGCAGGATTGCGATCCGAGGCTTCTCGATGCAGTCTCGTACGGGTCCGAGTTTCGAAGACGCGACCAGATACGTCGGGGAGAGCATCGCAACGGTGATGACATCACCCACGGACCATGTGATTTCACTCACTAGTGAAATCAGCAGTACCATGGGTATTCGGCTCACCAGAAGCACCAAGATGGCCAGAGGTGGACCGATCAACTGCGAAGAGAACAGTTTCCTGATGACATTGGGGGAGAATATCTATGGCTTTGCGGGTCTTCGATGCCCGTCTCCCGACTGCCGATCGCTCGATGAACTCACCTTGATCAGAACCGCGATAATCAAAACTTTTGAGCTGATAGTGACGAACCAGGCGAAAATCCTTGTTATCACGTAACCCGCCGTCGGCCGATCGATTGTGGGGACCAACAGCTGCTGAGAGAAACTCTGGCGCTCTGAAGATCCTCGACGGATAGAAAACGAATACACGGCCGCGATAACTGAAGCGAGGAGCGTTCCGCAGCATATGGACACCAATTGGAAAGTCACTGGAAAAAAAAATCGAAGAACCTCAGCAATCGAGAGATCTCCGAGTCCTTCCTCATAGATCCACCTCTTACAAACATTGAAATTATGCATTTCTCGAACTTACGTAGAGTGGGCTCTCCCTTGGAGACTTTCGTCAGAAGACAAGCATAAAGTTGAAAGCTCGCCATTGGGACGCAGTACAATGCTCCGATCCAGACCAAATCATTGAAAGCGTGCCATTCGTGCCTGTTGACGAACTCCGTGGTATCCGTCGGATCACCGCTCAGCATCAACACTTTGTCAAAAGTCGCAGTCATCAGCCTGAAACGCGAGGGTTCCTCATCTTCGTGCAACGGGGAATTTCCCCGAGGGATGATCATAATCGATTTTCGAGCTTTGCTCGCATCGAAACGGCGGCTCTTCGTGATACTTACGTCAGGACCGGGAGGAACCGGAGCAATGGTGCGGTGAAAATATACCAGAGAGTCGCGACTATCGAAACGAGATAACCAGACGTTCTTCGCAGTCCACACAAACGCTCGAACAAGAGAACGATGCAGACGATATGAGGAATTAGAAGACACCAACGGAACATTTCGATCTCGTCTTGTGCGTGGTACGAGACCGTGGTCCCGATGTCGGCAACGATCATGGCCACCATCAGGATCAGACACCACGCTGCAAGAGAGTCGATATCTCATTTTTAGTCTCTGAAGCGACTAGAGCTCGACGAATTCGCTGAGAGGAAAGATTCGGACACCCACCTGAAGGCCCAATGATGTCCCGGACAGTCACGAAAGGGGACGTATCCAAGGGTTGATGTCTCATAGAAACACTCGTTCTTCGTGACGATAGCCGGTCGTCAACAATCTCCGCTTCCTCTACGGGATAGTCCTGTAATTTCGCACAGAATGACCACTGAGCAAGCTTCATCCGATTTGATGCTCACATGTGTACTCTGACGGAGGAGGCTCGAGGGGTTTGCACCTCAGTCGGAGGCGATCGACGAGAATCGGGATCCGTATAGTGCCGAAGCCGAACTCGGGATACCAACCTTGTGGTACTGATTGGTCAGGTACTCGATGATGTAGCGATCGGCTGCTGTCAACCGATTCAGGTCTTGGCTTTTGTCCTGACTCCGTCTCCCCGCGTCTGCCAGCTCGGCGAAGGTGCCGAACGATCTACTCGAGGGGTTTCTGCACAGCGCATCGCGAACCTCAAGAACGCCATCAGTTCTCCGGAAATTGAAGCATGACGCCGATCGCTCATGCTGCCGCGCCACTGGTTTCACCGGGGTCACGCTGAAATGACGGTGTTGTTTTAGGGAAAAGATTCGGGACGTGTCGTCGAACGCTGTGTTTCCACGGTTCTAGCGAGCACATATCTCCGAAAAATTGGGTTTTCATGGGAGCCGTGCTTTCGTCGCGAACCATCGTCATGATTCTCAGCTTCAGCGCGTGAAAACTGTGATTCTGAGTCTATGGTTCCCTTATAGGCGGTTCTTCCGATGAATCACTCATCACTGTCACTCGACCGTTCACGATTGCGGTGTGTCGACTCTTCTTTGAGGATGACTCAAAAGGAAATCACCAGCTTTCGTTGGAAGTTCAAGCGGAAGGAAGCGGTTCTCCGCTTCCGTTAGACTGTCACATGAACTCATGCTCTCACCTCACACGCATCAGCATGGAATAGCCTAGACGTCATAGGAGATGGGCTCGGAAGCGAATATTTTAGACGTCTAACGGGACAGTTTGGTGCTCCTCCCACAGTCTCGTCGGCCGGGAAAGACGGACCCTCCTTGTCCCGCGCGGGGCGTGAAGGTCCTCGGAACATTCATAGCGGGATGGATGGGATTTCGGAATTGTCCTCGACGCGCAGGAGGACTCGAATAATTCGGAAGATCGTTCATGCGAATGTGCGGTGAGCAATCCGGGGCTCATGGAATATGAGCCGATCGCCCGAAGCGGGGGAAGTTGGATCTTGAGTCGACACTTGTTCTTCCCCGGATCAGTGTAGCTTCGATGAGCACGAGAGCTTGTTTACGAGGAATAATTGTCATCGTGTCAAGAGGGAAACCGACACGGTGCACTGTGTGCCAAAACATTGTTACGACCTTGTCCGATGAGAGAGTGCTCGTCGATGATATAATCCATCGATAGAGTCATCAGAAACGTGATGCACGAAGATATGATCACGGATGGAACGAAACTGCTCAAAGAGTCGATCGAGAGTTTTTCCCGAAACTTAGGGGAGACGATGATGCGCAACAGAACTCATGCGCAGTCGGATCGTCCCGGATCTAAAGTGGTGTTTGCTTCCGAGAAGAGAGACATGAGAATCTCTTGTGTTCAAGTAATCCCAGTCGGTGGTGAAGAGCCTCAATCGATACCATTATGGAAAACAAATTGTGGATGCTCTCTTCAAAATGATCCGATAGACCGTTGAACGCGGCAGGCGTCTTCCTGGCTCATTCGATCCCTAGGAATTCTACCCTCTCGAGAGCGGCTAGAGGACTGCTCTGAGTGAGTTGTTTGTCGGATCTCGCGATGAAGTAGCTGATGATTCTTCCGATCGAACGTTGCTTCCGGGCCGAAAGCCGATTCCGGCAACAAGTCGAGCGTCGTTTTTCGTTGATTCCCTTCTCGCATTCTGAACGCGAACTAGTAGCCCGACGGAATCGGGTTGATGTCAGATCGACAAAACTATGCGTACGGCTCCGGCGAGCAAATGACTGCGCGAAGATCGAAACCAAACCCCTGACAAGCGTATCTAAGCCGAGTCTTCGGGATAGGTTCTCCGTGTGCCGGCGGCTTGCTTCTCAAGTTCGAGCAAAGTGACGATAATTTCCATTCAGTCGAAACCGCGTGGAGAACATGACCACCGCGTCGTAAAAACGGACAAAGTAACACAATAAAAACGCTCGTGATCTGAGCGACCGAATCAGATTATTTTACGATTCCCTGGTCCAGAGAAACTCCAAACACCCACACACGCTTAGACAATCAGAGATAAAAGGATCGGCGTAGAATGCGTCTGAATCTTGAGGGGAACCTCGTTATCGACTGCTCCCAGCCCAATCAAGGAGTGGAAAGTTTGTACAGTAATCGACGCAGAGCGTATACGACTCTTGGGAACATCTCTCGAGACTGAAAGTAGTGACTCCCTCATACTCGGTGATACTTGATGGAACTCTAACGAGAGCTGATCGTGAATTTTCATGAATATCTGATCATGATCACCGGCGGGAATTCGTGCGCGATCGTAGACGGTTTGAGCTCTCTAATCGGCTCGACCGGCGCCCAAAGCATGCATACGAACCGGAAAAACCCAATCCCCCCTTGATTTTAATCACCTCACGCACATCTAATCATGTGAAACCGTCAAATGTTGAAAGAGAATATGCCGGCTTATTGATATGTCGCGAGCTCTTCTCGTATGCATTGACGCTTATGAGATCTGTCGGAATCCTCAAGGGCAATGCTCGATCAGGATGTCAAACTTGAGGGCCTACCACTCCCTTTTTGATTTCCAATCTTCACTCAAGCTCGCGGATCGAACGAAATTTTCGAGATAACAATGAATGGCATCAGTGACTGACCATGTACACGCGATGGATTTCCGTCGCTTGAAATCTGTCAGCATGATACCGGGATACCGTCTCCACTCCCGGTGGTAGAATACTTCGTTCGGGTCCACAATTTTCACGATTGATGGGACGAGCTCTCCCTTGGGCACGAACGAATCTGGGGCGTATCTCCAGGTCCTCGCAGCGAGCGGATCGCTAAGTCCGGCGGTTGAGAATCATCCTGGGTCAGCACTCGCATAAGTCCTCCCGGAAGAGTGCAAGGCGAATCACTTCTCTTGTGAAATTAATTCCTTCCGAGTTCGACGAGGAATCTAGGAATTCCAGGAATCCAGAGACCGCACACCATACTATCACGGAGCTCGACTGAAGATATTACATATGAGTCTATGGAATGGCTGTCAGTAGTAGACCCAACGTCGGAAAGGGGAGAGCGCATCGTTGCTGCGGCCACTGCTGCCGCCACTACTGCCGCTGCCGCCGTCGTTCTTGGTGCTGTGTTTCGACGCTAATCGACGTGTGTCGACTTCGCGGTGAAAGGATTCGTTGACCACTAGATCTATCCAAACCGACTGGGTAGCGAAACCACCGAGGTATCTTGATCGATGGGAGACACACCAACAAATACGTGTCTGTCAGGTGTTCCGTCCCGCGGGAGGGAGGACTTGGCCAGCTCCATGTCCGAAAGACCCCGAGCTCCCCCGATCAGGTGGTCTTTCCTTTAACAATAAGTAGCGCCCTAAAGCTCACCTCAGGAACGCAGAGGAATGTTCGTATGACAGGCTACTCCCAGACTGGGAAACCCGATTCTCCAGAATACAGAGACCAACAGGCGTTTGATAAGCACAAAGTTCGTAACGCCCGGGATCCGCTGATTCCGGAAAGTCCCAGAATATGAGAATAAAAAATCCGTGGATGCAGCCTTCTCGAATCCAATTACCGTGAATATCTAATCAGATACTTCTCGACCGATGTCGGCAGACCCGATATCGGCCGGAAGTATTACCTCGGGAACTCGCAGAGCTTAGAGGAACCCCCCCCGGGTGATTAGGGGTTCAGGAGTCTAATGCGGAATCTCACTCGTGATCGAGTTCGAGATCATCGATGGAGAGCGGAGCTTGACGATGTCCTTCTAGGCTCCTCCGCGGGAGTCCCTCGGTCGCCCCGATTGCATTCGGCCCTTCATGTGAGTGAGTTCATGATACGAGGTAGCTCGGACGCGGAGGAGCCTTGTACCTCCTCGGTGACCATGACGTAGATCAGCACAGTCAACAATTCACTGTATCACTTCATTAGCTCCAGATCTCATCCTTCGCAGAGTCTCGGAACCGCCTACTGAATCCTCCCTTCCGAATTGAAGAGCTAGTAAAAGCTCTAAGAACCGGAAATTCCTGGTCTGAGCTTGGAATTCAGCTTAGTTAGTGTGAGAGCAGCTCTTCTAGGATCGCCCACTTCGCGTTCCGACGAGTAGCCAAGGCCGGGAAGCGCTGAGAACCCGCCGCATGGAAGTATCTCCCGTTTTTTTTTTTCATATTTTTCTCGTTACATCTACATCATTTACGATGATCATCAAAACTTCTAAGGCTTCAGCACGAGGCTCACGCTGCGCCGTGCGGGAGGCTTTGTTCCTGCTACTAATTCTTGCCGCAATGAGAGAAAAAGCGCCGCGACTCTCCGCGTTGTGAATCAGCGCAACTTTTCTGAAGGGATTCCTTTTCTGGAGAACTGATACCTTCGAACTTTCCAACGGTCCGCTGTTGAAGGCCGCGAATTACGATGTCCCCTTTGACGTCGGAATCGGAACCGACCACCTGATTACTAGGTATTTGATCGCGTTCGTTTAAACCGATCGTCGTTTCAAAGACGTTGGAGTCTGATCCGAATTGCTGTCGAGTCGTCCGACCAATGGACCGTTGTGCCATCGCAGGAAGGCTCAAAACCGGAGAGCTTCTGTCGCGCGCACACACGTTTGTCAGAGTTCGGGATAGTTTGTTTGTGTCTCGTCCGAATCCGATCGATATGACCGATTCAGGCGTTCATGCTCGTTCTGAGGTGTGTTTCGCGGTGGTGGTCCCCATCCAGACACCGTTACGACATCGCGCACCATGCCCGATCAGGGAACGAATTTCGTCGATTGAAACGAAGGAAGACGCCTATGTTGGCAATATATTCGACAGAATGTCGCTGTTTTTGTTCTTCACCAGCCGGGCGCTCGCTTCGCTCGCTGGCTGGGAATAGGCTGTCGGCGTGGCTCGTGGAGTGCAACTACGGTTGTTCACGACGTTGACGATTCGCCGGTATTTCTTGTTGCGGTATTTTCGAAACCATCAAGAGTTACTCCTAATCATTGCGTTGGAACATCTCTGAAACAGTCATGTAGAGATGCTCCCTATGTCGCCCCACAATGCTCCATTCGCAGCGAGCTCTCTCAGCAATTGGTTGCATGTCTATTTCGATGAAGATGATATTGACGCACAGGAACCAAACGTGTCTTACGTTTCTCGAAGCTTCCTGATGGAACTGATAGCGAAGCACACAGCACAAAGGCTCGTCCTACGTTTCCCGAAAAAATATTGATATATTTTCTATCAATCTCGACTTGAATGAGAATTATTGCAGGAAAATTCATCGCTAAAAGGATTGACGGTACGAAGAGCCTCGGAGTTTTTGACGTGAAAACGTCTTTAATTTCATCGACCATACAGATCGAGGGTACTTCGTCCTTTGCGTCACAAATGTTGTAACTTTTCTGTGCCTTAGATCTCGGACACCTGGGAACGTAGAACTTTGTAGCTGGTTTCATGTGAACGCGAATTCACGGCATGAACTACCATTCTATTTTGGTATCAAATCTGGGAGGCCTCCAGAGTGACATGAATGAAGGTTGTGTGAGATGTCTGAAGGTTGTGTGAGATGTCTGAAGCTTATTCTGATTCGAAATCACTGTTTGATTTCGAGGGGGTTTTCAGTCTTCTAGGTCGCGTTGCGTTTGCGAAACAGGGGGTCACAGGAAGGATATATTCATGCGAAACATGAGACATTTCGCAATGGGGGCCGATTTGTTCCTTTCTCTCCTTTAGTCAGCGTTACTATCGT